GATAAAATATCTAGAAGATAAAAACTCATATATTTTGAGTGTAAACCTATTCAATTGTATTTTACTAAAGGATATAGATTCATTCACGAACTTAAATAAGTGTTCACTACATTAAATTCTCATTATTTAAAATCTGATTATTTGGCTTGTTCTTTAAAATCACGTTTAAAGCCTACCATAGTGTGACAGGTACATTGCTAGAGACTATACTACAAGTTGGGCTATTTTAATTATAAATTAAAATAATAATTTGCATTCGCATTACACATCCTAAGTCCAAATCAAACTTGACCGATATGTAATGATAGCTAATAATATATACTTCAATGCTATATAAATGAATACCCTTAGAAACAAATATAAAGAAAGATATGAATTTTTTAAATTTTCATTTCACCTAAAATCATTCCGATCCGTAAAGTATTGAAATCTATCCCGATTAATCGGGATAAAATTGAATGAGTTGATCCCAATTTCCCGATCAATCCTGATGCCAAAAGATAAGTCTCTTCATCATCTTCAAAGTCTTTAGCGAAAGAATCATCTGAAATTTGAGTATTAAATAGAGCGGTAGTAATTGTGACTGAAGTAGTTCCCGATAAGAGAGTATCGATTTGTTCTTGGTTAAATTCAAATGTGGATTCTGAATCTTCTGATTCTTTTTGCTTGATGACAATCAATATGATAAGAGAAAGTATAAGAATAACTTCAACGATTGCGACAGCAATCAATATGATAATCAATAACGAAAGACTAGATGATTCATTAGGTTCACCGATTTCAAATGGGAATGCATTAGTTGTTGTTGTAGTAGTAGTAGTAGTATTAGTATTTTCATCGTTATCACTGGGTTGAGGATTCTCTGTTATTTCATCGTCATCACTGAATAGAAAAGATGGTATGTCCGGTATAGGAACTTCAAATATACAAACTCTGTCAATTTTCTTTGATGGAGTTAACTGCCCGTATTCTGTACTTTTCTTTGTTGGTGCATAATAGTCGCCTTTTGCATAATCTTCAAATGATGTTGATGAATCGCATTCGCCCTTAATAACTGGAATAAACTTTTCACGTTTAAACCAAAATGAACTAGTGAAATTATTAGTCACATAAATATTCTTCAATAAAGGTGAATCAAAATTAGAAGACTGGTAATATCCTCCGAAGCAAATATTTTGAAGATATAAAGGTAAAGTATCATATATGGGAAAGTTAGTAGAAGAAGATTCCCGCCATGGTTGATAATAATTATAGGTAACAAATTCAATGTTATGAGGAATGACTAATGTTGTTACTCCATAATCAAGAATCTTTCCATCTTCAGAATAAATTGGACATGATTGAATTGCATTTGGTAATACTACTGTAATAAAACTTGGAATAACATAAGTTGAAGGCATTTTTCCATATGTCAGAATAAGAATTGAATCATAAGCTATCTCATGCTCCCCAATAGTAATGATTGATAATATTACTCCATCACGGCACTTCTGATCAAATTTGATATTAAATGATCCATAAAACGCAGTAGGGTCTATAAAATCGTAATAAAAATCGTATGTAAATACAAAGTATGTGGATTTATTTATATGTGAAAAAGCATATGCTTCTATTTTTTGAAAATAGGGAATATCAAATGAAAGCAGTGATGTATACTCAAATGCGTATTTAGGAATACTTCGACTATATGTTGTTAGATCAAATGAAATTTTAATATATACTAAATCATAAGCATGAGAAAATGCTCCAATACCTTTATCAAAATCTAATATTATTTTCTCAATTGCAATAATTCCTGTGTATGCAAAACAATACTGATTTATTTGAACGCCATAGTCTGGAAACCTAACTTTGATAAGTTTGTTGCAATTATAAAAAGCCCGGTCATAGATAAAAACATTTTTCCCTTCTTTTAGATCCATGAATCTAATTGATTTTAACGAGAAGCAGTTCTCAAATGAAGAAGCTCCAAAAGAATTAAATTTTGACAAATTGATTTCTGAAAGGCTTTGGCAATTGTAAAAGGCATAATCTCCTATGATATATGTTTCAGGTTCAAGTAAAACCTTTTTGAGATTAGTACAATTACAAAATGCAAAAGAAGCAATTTCAATGATTTCTTTTGTAGTGAATACGACTTCTTCTAATGTTTTCGCTTCTGCAAATCCCCACTCAAAGTCGATTTTGTGATCGCATGTTATTGTTTTAACCTTTGAACTCTTGAATGCATATTTTTCTATCTTTTTAATTGATGATGGAATGTTATAGGCTGTATCTTCATTTGTAAATTCGATGAGTGTATCACCGGTAGGGGGTAATGAGCTATCAGAGGAGATGATTCGAACATTTGGACTGTCCTTAAAGATATCTTTATTATATATATTTGCGTCATTCTGAAGTTTAATCAACTTCAGATTTGTGCACCCAAGGAATGCTGTTTTATCAATTGTCATTTGTTTGTTGAATGTTAATGTCTCGATTTTGCTGTTCAGAAAAGCTTTTTTTGATATGTAATAAACATTTTTCAGATCAAGATTTGTCAGCAAAGTATTTTCAAATGCATAATCATAAATACTTGTGATTGAATCATCAAAGTTAACTGTGGTTAGTGATGTGCATCCTTTGAACATAAATGGTGAAACAACAGATTTTCCACCACTAACAAATGTAACTGTTGTTAAGCCAATACAGTCTTCGAAAATTGAAGCATCTTGTTTATAAGAATCCGCTTGGATTTTAAATTTGATATCAATTAATGAATTACATCCTGAAAATGTTGATTGTTTACCTGTTAATACAATATCATTTCCAACAGTAAGTGATGAGCAAAGACAGAATGCTCCTTCAGAAATTGTTTTTATCCTATCAATTGGAAATGTCTTTAATTTGGAACACCGAGAAAAACAGTACTTATCAAGTATTAGATCAGCTTGATTTATAGTGATCTCTTCCAACTCTTTACAATTGAAAAATGCATATTCTTTGAATGTATTTGCTTGAGGTATGTTCACCGTTCTAAGAGAAATACAGTTTTTAAATGACTTTGGTTGAACAACTTCTAAGTTTGTTATTAAAACTTCAGTTAATTTCATACATTCTGTGAAAAACAGTCCATTATATGTTGTTTCTATGGGTGTTTCAGATTCTGCTGAAACACGAGTTAAAGATGAGCACCTATAAAAGCAATTAGAACCGAATGAGATACCATTTGTAGTTGTGACTATTGTTAATGACTTTATTTTAGAATATGCAAAAGAATACGATTCAAAAGTAACACCTATTGTCGATATTTCAATGTCAAATGAACCACAGTAGTAAAATGAAAAAAATCTGAACTGTATTTGAGAATTTGATTTAAAATTAAAATTAATTGATACTATATTTGAGCAAAATGCAAAGGCATATTCTCCAATGGAATCTAAATTACTTATTTTAATCGAAGTTAATTGGGAACAATAATAACATAAATATTTTGGAACATTCATTTTAATATTTAATTCTTTGATACCTGATCTTGAAAATATAATTTTTGTTTTGCTTGTCTAACTTGACATTGGTTAAATGAGCACAGCCTTCAAAAGCATTTTTATAAATAGTGTCCACATTCTCTAAGTTGATTGTTTGTAAAGTTGAATTAGCAAAAGCACATTCACCAATTACTTTAATGTTAGATGTAAGAGAAACTTTTTTAATTTTCCCATTCAATCGAAAGGCAGATCTTGGTATAGATGATGAAGCTGTAACTTTAATTTCTAATTCTGAAATGTAATGAAATCCTTCAAAATTGGGGATTGAAACAGATGCTGAATCAATTATTATTTTGTTGTAATTTTCACTAATTATTAAATTAAGCGTATCACTACTAAAATCAGTTTGTTGAGTAATTGTTAACGTTTTAAGTTCTGGGTTTTCATTGTTAAATCGAACAGCTTTGTATATAAGGCTACAGAATAAAGTTTGCTTAAGCATCGGAACAGAGAAATCCGATAAAAATCTATGAACTTAAATTTCAATTCTTAACATTTGAATATAAACACTTTTTAAAAAAACGTTTGTATTCAAATGTTAAGAATGATTTTTTTAAAAAAAAAAGTTCAGAACATAAACAATAATATTTATGAATGAATTTATAATTTAAAAAAAATTCAGAACATAAACAAAAATTAAAAAATGAAAAACATTATAGAGTTGTATATGTTGTTGAATAAATATAGAAAGATAACTAAATTGTAAAAACAAACAAAAATTATATTTAAAAAATATATGTAAAAATTTCACTACGAGATCTCACATAATTATCTTTTAATATTACGAAAAAGTTTATCGATACATGATATTTTGGGATAATTCAAATTTCAGAATTATTATTTTTGAGAGCGCATTGAAATTCTTTCATGTATATATCACAAAAACATCCATAATGCTATAAAATGATGATAAATTAATAATAAAATATATCAGTATTATGATTTGTTCAAATTGCTTCATATTTGGCATTACTAAAGAGATCTCTAAAGCAATCAGTTCTATTTCCGGAATGTGATGCATATCTTAAACTCATTCAAATTGAATACTAATCCATTTTTGAGATAGCTCATTGAAAAATTGTCAAGTTTTTTAATATCGAATTTATGATATCAGATTGTGAGCGGCGCAAAATTTGCCTTGCAAATTTTGCGCCGCTCACAATCTGAATCATGAATTTCATATTATGAGCCAAATTGAAAACTGTTTCAATCCATTCAATTTTTCTCATAATATAACAAATTATGGACAAAATTGAATGAGTGAAACGGTTTTCAATTTTGTCCATAATTTGGATATCTTGTTCATTATTGAGAGCGAAACAAAATTTGCTTCGCAAATTTTGTAAAGCTCTCAATAATATACAAAATATGCTAATTTTTATTTTAAATTTATGTCTCAATCAAGCAATAGATGCGATTTTCTTGAACAAAACATTAAGCCGTTTTATACATTCAATTTCTTAATAACAACATATGCTTCATAAATTTTGTTTTTACTCATTATTAGATCTATGCATAAAGATCTCATTAGATCCTGTATATAAGGAAAGCGATCAATCATTAGAAATCACAAAACAACAAGATTTACTCCAAGACGTTCTTCTTCCGTATATTCAAAATCATTCTGTTCAGAGAATGATAATTAAAGGTGAAGAAATTTCCAAACTCTACAGACTCGACGTTTTTGATTTAATTCCAAAATTTGAATTTAATGCAAAAAACATTACTAAAATTCCGAATTATTGCTTTTCAAATCTTCTTAACTTAAACACGATCGTTTTAGGTACTCATGTCAAAGAAATTGGATTTTATTGTTTTGCAAATACTAGTTTGATATCAATAAATACAGAATCTATAATATCAATAGGCGAGTGTGCTTTTTACAAGTGTTCAAAACTTGAAAACATTGATTTAACTTCCGCACAGTTCATTGGTGATTTTGCTTTTTCCGAATCTGGTCTCACAGAAGTGAATGTTCCCAATCTACATAGTTTGGGTTACCAATTCTATAATTGTTCAAAATTAACGAAACTTGAAGGTTTTGATTTAATACCAGGTACACGCTTTACAGACAAATTGGACCTTACCTCAATTACATCTTTGCAGTTTGATCTAGTTACAGATGATTTTTATATGAGATCAATTGTTAATTTGACAGTTACTGGAAATATTCAAATCAAAAACCCTTGCCCAAATTTAGAAACAATAATCCTCACAGATACACATCGTGAATATTTAAGTGTTAAAAATCAACCAAAACTCAAAAGTATCATTATCAATGGCCAAAATGACCATAATCTTTTTCCAAATAATCCCTGCTTAGTAACCATTGAAGGTTCTAATATCATTAATGTTTTAGAGGAATATGCTTTTGCATCATGCACATCTTTAAGACGCATAGACCTTCCATTAATAAATGTATTCTGGGATTATTGCTTTTTTAATTGCATCAATTTGGAGGAAATTGGAGGCTTACTAGAACCACGAGATAGAGATCATAAAGTTATCCTAGGAAATCAAGTATTTAAGTATTGCTGGAAATTCCATCAAATAAAAGAATATAATAGTGATGTTTTTCAAACATACGCACCAGGACTCCCAGAAGTCAGTGAGTTTTGTTTTGCTTATAGTGGACTCACTACGATAAAATTTACTAGTTGGTATTTTTCCGCTGATTTTGATATGGATTCAATACATTTTGGCTTTTCTTTTATAGGCTGCAAAAATTTGCAAAGTGTTGATCTTACAAGTGTTGGAGATCTAGGAGAGAGTTATATGTTTAAAGACTGTGTAAGTCTTACTGAACTAAAATTAGAGCGTGAAATAGATTTCATTGGTTATTATGCATTTGAAAATAGTAAAATAAACGAATTAATAATAGGTAATAAATTTCAAATAAACTATTATTATCCTATTAATTTTGGTAAATATAACATAAATGAAAACGTAAACTTTAACATAATAGCTCCCAGTCAATATGATTATCCAGATGAACATTTTTCTGCTTATGTTACTCCTTTCTGGAATACAAAAATAACAAAAATTACTTTTAGAAATTATCTCAATTCTTTCTCTCTCAAATATTTCCCCAATTCAACAATTAATGAAATTCATTGTGATGATAGCAATTATTTTATATATGAAGATGGTATTCTTTATAACAATGGTAAAACTAAGATATTTGCGTTTCTAAAGCATGGTTCCAATTCCTTTACAATTCCAGAAAGCGTTAATGAAATACAGCCATTTGCTTTTGCCTGTAGTTCGTTAACTTCATTGACAATTCCAAGTCGAATAACAGTTGTTGATGGTATTTTTGCATTTTGTCATGAGTTAAAAGAAGTAACATTTGAGGGTTTAATAACAAAACTGGGAGATGATACATTTTCTCATTGTTATAAATTGGAAAAAATTAACTTTAATGGAGGAGCAAATCTCCTCTCCATCGGCAAATATTGTTTCTGTTGCTGTTATTCATTATCTAGTTTCCCTTCTTTCGAAAATGTCAATTCAATTGATGAATATTCATTCTCCTTTTGTCCTAAATTAAGCACATTTAATTCTCAAGTGATCACCGAGATTGGAGCATTCAGTTTCTGGAATTCAGGTTTACAATTAATAACAGCAAACAACTTGCAAACTATTAACGAAAATGCTTTTAACGGATCAATGATAGAAGAGTTCACATGTCCAAATGATTTGGTTTTAATTAAGAAATACGCATTTTCAAATTGTCGTCGTTTGACTAAATTTGTATTCAATGGCAAGATAACAGAGATTAATATTCTTACTTTCTTCAACACATCATTAGGAAGAATCAAAATCCCAAATAATATTGTTTCAATTAGTTCACATGCATTCGTATGCTCATTTGACATCGAATTTGAATTTGAAGAAGGTGGACATCCAATATTTGATGCGATCAATAATTCATTTTTTGAGAAAGATTCTGGAATATTATTATTCACTTATGGAACGATAACCGGAGCATATCGAATTCCAGACAAAATTGAATATATAGATCCTCGCACGCTTTATTCAGAAAGGCTTGTAACTTCTGATGGAATAGTCATCAAAAAAGGAGTTTCAGTATTAATTATTCCAAAATCTTATAAAGGTCCACACAGATTCAGTGATGACAACGCTGATATCTCTCAGGATCTTCAGACACATTTGAGTTATTTTTGTTCCGAATCAGAAAAACTATTTGAATTGCGTCAAAATGGTGTTGATGTCATTGAGAATACGGAGCTTAATAAAGATGGTGTTTGCAATGATAGTATTGATCAATCCCAAAAAGAAATCGTTTTTGAAGCTGAAGACGGAAATTATCCAAAGGGAGTTAAATACGCTGATGATATATATATCAATGACGCAGTTAGTGTATTTATCGAGCAACAAAAAGAATGGGAGTACAGATATTATTTTCCAATTAACCAAAAGAAGTTAGATTCCAAAATATCTTTTGATATCCATTCAAATTTAATTCAATATCTATTTGCTTTATTATTCATACTTACAGTTATTTTAATCGCTCTAATTATCATATTTGTTTCGTATATAAAAGAAAATTAATAAAAACATTAATGTTTACAATTAAAATCACATATTATCTTTCAGATATGGAGTGTTTGGACAGAAATTATCGATAGATAGGATGATATTATTAAATCTGTCATATTGATGAAGAATAGCTGGAACTCATAATTTCCAAAAGTTTCTGTTTCAAATGCTTGATTATGAGCAATACCGTATGCAATTATGGATGATCCAATAGAATTCTCATCCAAAGAATAGTTAAAAAGTGGATCGAAGATTTTTGAATAGACAAATATGTTCAAAAATGCTTGATCATCTCCGTATGCAGTGTAATTCGATAAGTAGCCTATATCTTTCATCACTCTATATAATTGTATCATTTATTCGATTCCGCCCGATTGAAAACCCCCGTTAATGAGGGGAAATTGTAGCATCGATTGATGTGACTTTATTTTGTCTGAGAGATGTGGTAGCATTTGTTTGACTATAGGAATTGATTCTCGAATTATTCTGTTGAAAATAAAATTTTTTTCTATTGTCACGATTTCTGAGTTAAAATATACTTTATTGTTTTTAAAGTATGTTGTAAATGGATCTCGCTGAAAGGCAGCATCGAATAAATCAATAACAATAACTCGACTTATATTTTTTCTATTTGTAACAAGAAAATCGTAAAATAATCTATGCCTAAAATAGTAAACACCTAAAGAATTTGGTGGATTTATTGGACCAACATTGATGAATTGAATTCCGCATTTTTTCATGTACGAAAAGTATCTTTTTGAGTATGATTGAAATATTATGTTGTTGCAAATGACAACAACGCGTGCTCTGCATCCTGTATGGCGAAGAGTTCGAATGAAGGTTGGTAAATTTGTTAATTTATTAAATGCTGAAGTGAGAATAACATCTTTTTCGCTGCTGTCTGGGATAAATCCGTTGTTGTTTATTTGAAAAGTGCATGAATCGCAGTTTTCAGATGTAAAAATATCATTTTTTAAAGAAAATATATCAGTATTGGATAAAATTGACATATTTATACCTGGGAAACTTATACCAATAGAGAAAAAGAAAAGTGTTAAAAATAAAATTTCGAGAAATAGAACATTAGCGCGTGATATGCCTTGTCTAACTTGGAAATATAATATTTTTTGGAAGATGTTACTGAAATAACTATTTTTGTTCAGTGACGCCCGATCAATGATGTGAAAAACTTTTATGTCACTTTTGAATTATCCTTTCATGAAATAGAATCATTAATATTCATACTTCAAGATCACTATGACTTTTCTAATGATATCTTTCAACTTGAGATTCAAAGGAAATTTGCTCTAAAATTTCTTTTTCCTATGATACAGCATTGCGTTTATTCCTTGTTATTATATTCTCTATGCGATCAAGTCAATGTAGGTGCATGCTGAAAAGCAGTATCCTTTAAAACTCTTCGAATAGCAAGATAGATGCACCAAATATCTCACAAATTCAAATAAGAAGTAATGAAAAAGATTTGAATCAAATAAAAGAATCAATTTTATAATCATAATAAAAAAATCAAATATAATAAAAAAAATCAAATCATTGTTCTAGAAGATTTTCTCGGAGAATTCGCTGTCAATGGTCTAATTATTGCAGGAACATCGAGAGGCTTTACATCCAGCTTGCTAAGTTCTGGCTGCTTCTTAAATGTAGCATATTGGCTCCTTGTTCTTGTTGAAACTAATCCAGAAGGAGTTGTTGCTCTCATATCTCTTGAAGTTACATCTGGAATAGTCACTCTTGGCTTCTTCATTCTATTTGTTGGTCTCTGAGAGAGCTGTTTTCTAGCATTCTCAAGAGAAGCAAGCTCTGCATCCCTCAAACTTTCTTGAACTCTTATCTTTCTTTCGCATTTTTCGTTGAAACACTCAAGTTGTCTTTGCTGTTGCTCAAGGAGTGTCTTATATTGTGTCTTCATTACTTCTGCGGCTTGTTTAGATCCAACGGCAGCTTCTTCCTTCTGCATTTCTTCTGCTTGTTGTTTGAATGCTTTGGCTTTGGCGAATTCGTGGTTCAACGCCATTGCTTTCTGCATCCTCTTCAATTGCAAAAGCTTTGAAGATGGTTTGGAGTAAGGAATAACTGCTTCTGGGGTCGACCACTTTTCTTCAAATTTCTTTCTTTCGTCATCTTGCTGTTGTTTGAGTTTCTCGAGGTTCTGTTTATCTTGCTCCTTCATCCTTGTGATTAACTCTTTGTATTTTTCTTCAACTATCTTCTTTTGTTTCTCAACTTCTTCGATTCTTTCTTTAATATTCTGTTTTTCAATCTCTGAGTTAGTGTTCGTCTTATCATCCTTCAGAGAGTTGAGTAAAACATTAACTGCCTCATCATCTGATGCTGCAGCGTCGTATTCTTCTGTCATGGTATGTTGTACGGACATTTTACGGCCATAATCGATTAAGGATGGTCGCATCTCCATAGGTGGTAATACTTTCTTCTCTTTCAGCTTTGCAAATGCTTGTTGAAGCTCTTGATCAGAATATAATTGAACTGGCTCTTGGATTCGAGGAATTTTCTGTTTGGATTTGACTCTTGTTACCATAACTTCATCTTCATCGTCATTGTTGTCCTCTTTATCTTCATTACCGTTGTCTCCGTCGTTACCATATTCAATTGTTGAAGATAATGATAATCCTTTAGCTTTTTGATCGTCCTCTTTCTCATCATCTGAACTTGACTTATCACTTTCTGACTTTTGCTTCTCTTCATGGTCAGATTTATCTGATTTCTCTTTTTCTTCGTCTTCTTTTTCCTTTTCATCATCAGATGAACTAGATGATGATGACTTATGTTCATCTTCTTTCTTTTCTTCTTGTTTCTCTTCTTCTTTATTCTCATTCTCATTTTCATTTGGTTGTTCTTGGTTCATTCCGCCTGAAAGCTTTCCGATAATGAAGTCCTTTGCATGTGTAATTGGTTCTTCTTCTTTCTTTTCTTGTTCTTCTTCTGGTTTTTTATTTTCAAAATCTCTTTCTTCTGCTTTAGGAGTTTCTTCCTTCTTTTCATCATCAGATGATGAGGAAGAGTCTTTAACAACAATATCCTTGTCTTTGACCTCTTCTGCTTTGACTAATGGAGGTAACATCGTATCTTTAAGAATAGATTGCGCCAAATCCTTGGAATATTGATTTATTTCTGGATCATCTGGCTCTTCCTCTGCTTGGAAGTCTCTTGCGCGTTGAACGGAGTCTTTAATTTGTGTAGTGATTAAAACTGAGCCAGGATTTTCTTCTTGAGCTGGTTGTTCTTTTTCTGGTTCTTTATGATTTTCTTCCTCATCACTAGATGATGAAGAGGAAGAGGAAGATTTCGATTTCTCTTTTTCTGACTCTTCTTTGCTTTCATCACTTGTATGATTTTCTTCTTTCTTTCCATCATCAAAATCTTCAAAATCAGAGTCTGATGATGATTTCTTTTCATTTTCTGGTTCATTTTCCTTAGTATCGTCTTTTGACTCTTGTGGTTGTTCATTTTCGACTTCTTTTGGTTCTTCATGTACTTCCTCGACTGGTTTTTCTGGTTCTTTCTCTTTTTCGTCTGAATTATTTTGTTCGTTATTTTCGGAATTATGAGATTCTGTAGAGATATTTGATAATTCATTTTTAATTACGCTAGACAAGCTCAAATCCTTATTCTCTTCAGATTCGACCTTATTTTCATTTGTAATATTATCTTTCGACTGTTTTTCTTCAGGTGTTTCGTTTTGTTGATCTTCGTTATCTGAAAGAATGTCGGTCTCTTTATCGTCCCCTAATTTTTCTTTTAAGGCATCGACGATTCCGAGTTTAACCGGAGGATTTTCTTGTTTTTCGTTTTCTTGATTTGTTTCTTCTGTCTTTTCGTTATTTTCAGGCGGCGGTGGATTATTTGATTCCAAGGCTGCTCCCAAATGAGATAATAAATTTAATTTCAAAGGACCTCCTTCAGTAGGTTGAACATCTTCCTTTTTCTCGGGTTCCTTTTCATTTTCTTTATTATCTTCTACAACAAAATCATCTGAGACCTCGTCATTTGGAGAACTCATGATGACGATTGAAAAAAAAAATTTTTCTCAGTGCTTTGAAAAAAAAACACAAAAGGTGACAAGATGTAAAAAAACGAGAATTTCAAAAATGATTCATTTCTCCCTCATTTATTGATATTCTTTGGACCAAAACAGGAAATATATTTATTGTAATAAACAGAAATTCATCAAAAGTGACAGCTCTCAATTTTTTGACATTTGTAAATTCTAAATTGAATGAGAAAAATGAAATAATACTAAGCATAATACAATATTCTAGATTTAATTATAATTAGGAAAAAGTTAGTTTTGAGAGTACTTTTCATAGGCATATAGAATGAAATCTTCTGAAAAATAATATTCCCACTCATTATATTCGTAAATTTTGAGGTTTATCCTTCGCTTTTAAGATCATTGAATTTGATTTTTATAGAAAATAGTTATATATTAGAAAATAGTATGAGTTTATGTGGTATTATTTTTCAGATGATTTTGTGTTCTTCTTCAAAATTTTATTTTTTATTAAAATGAATCTTTACAAAATATACATTTACTTTAATTAATATTTAAAAACGTGCTCTATCAAAAGTTCCAAAAATTCAATATTTTAGCTTTTCTGAGGTGTCACTTTTGATGAATTTCTGTTTACAACATTATAATTGAATATGTGCTATCTATTTATCCATTATAAACCGTATTTATAATTTTGAAAGCCATGCGGTTTGGCCTAGTAGAATGAGTACAAAGACTGAAATCTGCGGCTTCTCTGGACACATCTTCCATGCTGGTCACGGCCGTGTCCACATTCGTGAAGATAAGCACCTTATGGCTTTCGAATCCCGCAAGGCCTTCCGCATGTGGGAACGCAAGCGTAACCCACGTAAAATCGCCTGGACAGAGCACTACCGCCACGACCACAAGAAGTCTGTCGCTGATACAGCTGCTACAGAGAAGCGCGCCCAACGCAAGAAGGCCACACGCACATATGCTGGTGTAGCTATGGAAGGTAACCAACACCAGATGGTACAAATAGTTAAGAAGCGTGTAGCACGTAAGCCAGTTGCAAAGAAGAACTAAATTTTACTAGAATAAATGGTTGGCTAATATTTAGATTATATCTTAATTGGCACTCATAATTTTTTTGCCTACAGTCCTTTAAAATCTCTTGATATAACTCATTTACCTCTCAAACAATATAATAAAAATTGATATCTCAAAGCTTGGCATATATCTTAAATACAAAATATACGGGGTTTTTGGAAAGGAAATGATATAATCTTTGATGAGTCATAAAAACTGTTAATTAGCGAGATTGAGGAAACGACACATTTGTGTCACTTTTTTATATTGGCTCTATGGCTGATAGAGAGGATTCTGAATTAGAAGGTTTGTTATTAGCAAGAAAGCTTTCATCTCTTATACCTGTGTCTATATCCATTGATGAGTTAAAATTTAATGATTCGAAGAAGAAAATTACTGAAAATTCATTAAAGAAAATTTCTCCTGAAAAGGAATACATTCCTCCAAGTCCTGTTGTGCATTCAGTCGGAAACAATCAGCCACAAGAGACCCCTAAGCCGAATAAATTTACATTTTTGTTAAAATCCAAAAAGACACCTATAAAATCTCCTTCATTTACAAGAATGAAATATGAATTACCAAATATGCAAAAAATAGGTACTTCTGGTACAAATCTGAGACCTATTATGACTGTTTCTTTTTCCAGTTTAGACCTTTCAAATGCCGCCAAATCGGACAAGGATGTAAAGCAAGATGCAAAATCTGTTGTTCCTGAGGCCAGGCAGATTGAAAGTGATTGCGACTCTGAGTCATCTTCTCTCTAGATTTTTATAGTTATCTATTTGATAACTATCTATTGTTTGTATTACCATTAAAAATTCTTTAATAGTTACTTCTTTTACCCTTTATTTCCAAATTTTATCAAAAATATTCCTAAATATGCCATTGACATATAATTATATGATTGTGTAAAACAACATATATCGAATCACTAATTACTGTTTGTAATCGAATAAATAACGAATAATTAATAGATAAGCTTGTATGAAGTTACATATGGATATGAGTGCTGTTTAGGCAAGATACTATCACTACATTCCTCATTTTAGAAGACCTTCTATAGAATTAAAATATAAAAATTTTCTTTTGTTTTTACAATTTCTTATAATACCCTGTGAAACTTTTGTGTAAAAAAGTAATGTTGAATTAAATATAAAACAATTTTTTATAAGAAAATATTAATAAAAATATTTCTTTGAAGAAATCTGAATAAACAAGGTAATGTAGTTTCTTATGTCAAGAAATCTAAGATTCTAGGCTTGCATTTGATGTGAACTAAGCCACTGCCTTTGACGTATTCTGCATCGGTAAAAACAACATCGTGCATGACCATACCTTTTGTAAATGAACCGCCGCATACGCTGCAGCGCTTGTTTTCGTATTCTGGTGTGACTTTGAAATATTTTTGAGTTTTTGTTGATTCAACCTTTGATCTATCATCAACTTCGAGGTTTGATAAGTCTTCTGAATTTCCACGGCCCCAAACGGAAGCAGGAAGCATCCATGCGCGATATGCACGCGGTTTTTGTTCAACTGGTTCTTCTACTTCTTCAACTGTCTCTTTTGGAGCAACGATAACTTCTTCTATAGCTGGCTGTATTGTAACGTCGAAAGCTGGTCTAATCATTCCAAATTGTTGTACAGTAATCCATTGATTTTGAAAAGCATAATCAACAAGTTGTCTTAGCACAAGATCAGCTTCCATATCCCTTTGCCTAACAATAGCTTGTTCTAACTCTTGTATTTTGTTAATAAGAATAATTTCGCGCAAATGTGGATGATCAGATGCAACAAAGCCCAAAATTTGTACTAAAGGAAGAATTGGTTGAGATGTTTTGATTTTTTCTAAATATGGTGGATCAATGATTCTTTCGAAAACTCTCTGTAACATTTGTTCTTGGAATTGAGGAAAATCTTGGAAAATCCATCGAATGCTAAGCATGGGATCTTCTGAACTGCCTATTATTTGATCAAGACTTGTATTAAAAACTTCAAGCGCTCCGTCTAAATTCATATGTAAAATTGGGTCTGATTTTCACTCAATTTTTGCGCCCCTCAAATATTGATTGTTATATGAAATAATGATATCTACAAGATTTACAATCATAGAGAAGTAGTTTTATGATTTCAAATTTTCAATAAACATTGATTTTTCAATATTGTGATTTTTGAAAACATGAATATCGGAATGCCAATCACAGAATATATTGTATTACATACTGTGCTCATAAGGTCTTAATTCACATGGATAAATCAATACCTAAAAAAACTATAGTGTTATCAACGGATTACCTTAGAAATGCTTACTTTGGTTTATAATTATATTCATAATTACTGTATTTACAACCATAATATAATCAAATTTGGTAACTACAAATCAAGAACATAATTAACTACAAATAAAGAACAAATCCACAGTCAAATAAAGAACATAATTTAACTACAAATATGATAAGAAAAAAAAGAAGTATGTTAACAAATATTATAGATCCGTATTTTTCCCAAGTGAGCGGGGTATCTCCAATCCCAGCCCTATCGTCCTCCCAGTGTCAGTTTTCAATATAAAATCCAAATTTTTTTTGAAAATAAAAATTTCGAGAAATTTTTCTGATTTTTTTTCTTTGATTTCAATAATTCAAAATAAATTTGGGAGTAAAAAGACACTATTTAATGAAATTCATATGAGTGAATGTGGATAAATACTCTCAAAACATACAATTTATCTATTTTTTCTTTATATTATCAACTAATTAGTGATAATTTTTTTTGAATCAGATTTTTTTTCATTAAAAACATAATATATAACACAACAATGATGCACACATACGTATCTACACATCAAAATATAAAGCTTGTTTTGGTCTGGGCATCCCAACCCAAAATTCTTAAAAAATTGAATAAAATTGAATACTTGGGGCTGGGATGCCCATCCCAAAACCGAATTGAATTTTTTGAATTAAAGAATATATTTATGTATTTATAATATACATGTGATGTCTATAAAAAATACTAAATTCTAAAAAAAATTCAATTTATTCAAAACGTATACTAAGTGATCACTTCATTAGTAGGATCAGCAATCCTACTAAATGGTGAGAACGCCACTAACTAAAAAAGGAGTCCTTGGAGCTCTTGATCTCTTGTCATTAGAGTTCATAATGAGGCATGGCATCTACTGATTAGAGATCAGAGCAATCCTACCTTACCTTCAGGAGCTACAAAGCTCCTAATCGTTACGAGAGGGAGTCTTGGAGCTCCTGAAGCTCATCAGCAGAGGCTATTTACCATTTGGGCCTCTTCTGATGAAAGATGCGAAACACGTCTACGAACCAGGAGCTTCAAAGCTTCTAATCCTTACTAAAGGGAGCTTTGGAGCTCCTGAGTCTCCATCAACAAAGTCCCAGATGGTAAATGTCCTTTGCTGATGAAAGATGCGAAACACATCTCCGAACCAGGAGCTCCAAAGCTCCTAATCCTTACGAAAGGGAGCTTTGGAGCTCCTGAAACTCCTTTTACTATAAAATATGACAGTTTTCTTCTGAGGTTCTCATCAAATCTAAGACTTCAGAAGAAAGCTGTCCTATCAATGTATACTTACACTCTCATGGACTACAAGTGTACAATTTTAAAGCAGAGATTATCCGAGGCCCCTCATCAAATGAGGGACCTCGGATAATCTCTACCTTAAGTAGTCAAATAACTTTTCTCACTATTTAGGAACAAAAGAACAAGAGTTGGAGTACTTTAAGGCAAGATTCTTCCGAAATCTCTCATCGAATGAGAGACTTCGGAAGGACCTTGCCAAATCCTTGAACGCCAATATCCTTGGAACTGAGCTAGAACCAGGGAGAAGTAGCATACTATAGAGCACGATGGTAATCTCGGAAATACTTATATCGCCCCAAGCACAATATTTAAGAAGTCTAACTCATATATACAAGAAGTCAGGCTGAATAGATATTGTGCATATGGTTTGCAGAACTCTCATGATATTTAAAATTCATGTTATCCCAAAAAAGGTGACACTTTGGGTGTATCGTCCATCCCAGGGATGCAAAAATCACATCACCTTGGATCTATACAAATATTATTCAGATTTATTCAAACAAAAAAAATATACCCAGATTTTCCTTACTTTTACCACCTCTCTAAAGCTGGGGACACCACCTATCGTTGGGAGTAGCTATTAAATAGAACCACTAAGGGTATTTTTGGAACTGCAGGTGTAGTGTAGTGGAAACATCTGACATAATGATTCATTATGCCAAGGTTTGATTCCCATTTAGCTAATTTTTTTCTTTTTTGGATCATGAATTTTTTTTGGGTCACTATAAGATTTGTTTCATGTTCTAAATCTGCTGCATATGTAATCTATTTTTATTTACCTATTTTTTAAAAATCTATTGGATTGCCAAATTTGAATATATTTAAAATCATAAAACTCCAAAAAAACTATAAATATATGTTTTATGCATAGTGCCGATACTCAAATATCAGATTACTTAGATCCATGAATAATATCCGAATTTTTTTTCTTAAAATTAAACTTCAAAACTTCTTGCAATCTTATTCTTCATCAATTGTAAATTTTTAAAACCATTTTTTAAAATAATTTTGCGTAAATTTTATTCTCATGTTGTTTTAATCGAAAATTGATACATTTTCAAAAAAATAATATTGACTTATGAAATTCATTTTTAAGGTGAAATAGTATTGTTTTATTAAAGTATATGAATAATATATAAAAAATTAATGAATAATATAAGCAGATTTTTAGTTTACAAAACAAATATGAGCAATGCAATTTCAAACTTTTGCTGGCAATTTCGATATTGCTCAAGTTTGTAGTATTTGTGATACCTATAACATCGGCTTAATCAAAATTTGATTTTTCTTATGAGTTATTGAGAAAATTTGATTGCAATGAGAAGGATTTCGACGTTTTTGATAAACTAAGAGCTGAGCTTTAGGGGTTCAGTTCATTTATGGCTGTAGTTTGATGCGTAGATCTCTTTTTTATTGTAAATTCTTTCAGCATGGAGATCGAGAATGAATCTTTTGAGAACTTTATGAGTTTTTACACCCGTAAAGAGGTCCTTCGAGGAAAGATAGTCCAGACTACATGAAGATGTGGGTTAACCAAAAAAATCCGATGGTTTCCCATATTCATGTAGATCTTCGAAAAAATGAGCACCAAAAAAGCCAAAAAAATAGGCTTTTTATTGGATTTGTACACTAGATCAATAATCTATTTAGGATCTGACACTCTTTTTAGCCAGAGATATGAGGTCCTTTCTAGGAAAACGATCTATTCATCCATAAAAAAATGAATTATCGTTTTCCCCAGAAATTACATGGGGAGTGGTAAAAGTAAGGAAAATCTGGGTAAATTCGATTTGTTATTAAAGATATTGAGTGCAAATAGCTGTTTCTCTGTGATTGTATCTAATCATGATTGCTGCTATGAACCAACCCAAAGCACCTGAAGCGAAAAGGACAGCAGAAGTAAGGAATTTTGCGAGTTTTCCGATTGTTGAACCATCAATGATCAAATCAAAGATGTCGTACATTTCAGTCATTCTCTGAGCGAGGATAATCTTGTTAACTTTGAAAGTCTTGTTTTCATCCTGAGACATGTGTCTTGATTTATTGATGCTTTCGATCTGTTCCATTGTGATTGTTGTGTAATCTTCTGGGAGGAAATCGAGTTCATCAACATCCTGGAGATCAGCAAGTTGTATCATTGGTTGTTGTTGTTGCATTTGCATTTGTTGTTGTGGGTCAACCATGTTTGGTGGGTAATAATTCTGCTGATAATACTGTGGATACTGATTTCCTTGTGGATAACCTGGCTGAATGTATTGTGGCTGTTGCTGTTGTGGTTGAACATTTTCTTCAATGACAAATGGATCTTCTTTGACTTTCTTTCCTTTACGTGGTCTTCTTGCTCTTTTCTGAGCCTTGATTCTCATTTCTCTCTCCTCCAACTCTTCCTCTGAGAAGTGTCTGATAACTGTTGGATCGTCTTCAGATGGCTTACGGCACATTGAAGCAATGATGAAATATGCGATGGAGATGAATGGAATAACAAGAATGGCGAAGGAAACAGGTACTAAATACTTGGATGGAATAATTACCTTATTAAGTGCAAGAATTGGAACAAATGAGAAGAGGATGTTGAGGAAATAAAGGATAGCATCCAATACATTGTTGAATTTGTTCATGTGTGGACGTCTCTTCACAACAATTATGAACATAATAAGATAAATCACTGGCATGCAAGTAAAAATGTACTTGTTGACAGAAGATGTGAGTGTGGACATGGCCATGACTGTGAATTTGTAGAAAAGAACTCCAACAGACCAGAAAACGTTAATTGAAATGAATTCAGCGAAAAGGAAGATACCTGTTGTATGGAGTCTTGAAACACAGTTCTGCCATTTCTCCTTTTCATCGTTACCAAAGACCTTCATGTCCTTGATAATTGAGGAGTTATGCAAAATGAGGTGGGAATAAAGGAATGGAATGCCAAACATGATGAAGATGACAGTGAATAATATGGATCCGCCGTTAACTTGTATAACTTCCTTGAACCAGTACAATGATTGGTCGGCTTCTAAGAAAAGTGTCTTGTGGCCTGAACAAAGGTTGGAACACTTGTCTTTTTGAGCCTCAGTCATTGTTTGGTAATTGTAGTTGTTGGCTGATGTAATATATCCGTAAGTATAGTTAACAATGCCTGGATTTTGTTCAATGAAAGAAGAGATTGTTCCGTTGTGAACTGCATCGTAGTAGCCTTCGTATTGTTTGGAAATTTGGAATCCACATGGGATGCAGACGTGGGAATGGTTTTGGATAAGATCCCAGCGGCTTCCATCGTAGTTAACATGGAAACTTGTTCCGTATTCACATCCTGTCTTAATTGGGGTAATCTGGGAAACGAAAACTGTAAGAATTGGGATATAAAGAAGATCAAGGGCGAACATGAGCAATCTGAGGCCCCAGCGCTTGATGAACTTCTTGAGCTTGAATAAGAAGTTACGGGAGCATTGGAATGCCTTCAAGAAGAAGAGAATAAGGAGGAATGAACCCAAAATGTATAGAACGTACTGGCCAAAGAGAGCAACTAGCGGTGGGATGGTGACTCCTGGGATCTGATAAATTCCGCTGAACCAAAGGCCAGCAGCAATGAAAATGCAGCCAAAGATAAATTGGAAGAATAAAATCCACCACGGTGGCTTTACAGGGATAATTTCGATGACTCCGGAGTACTTTTGTAACTTCTTGTTAATTTCTTCTAGGTTATCAAGCTTTTCAATTCCTGGAATGATATCATGCAAAAAGTGATGAGTTAGATCTTCGGCGATTGATGTTAAGCTTTTGTCTTTCTTGCAAAACTTTTTACACTTGAAAAGCAATCTGACAAGTAGCCAGCCGCAAGAAACAGGAACAAGAATTGTGCATGTCATCGTAAACTTTTCCATTAGTCCATATGTTAAGAAATATCCTAAAATGCCAAATGCCGCCATATCGCCAACGTGAAGAAATGTTTGCCAAATTGGATTAACGAACCACATAATTGCAATATCGAGTACGAGAGTAAGGCCAAGAGATAATATAACAAGTTTGGCGCGATAATCGAACTTTGGAATTTCAGGTACAACATTGAAAATTATATCATTATAAAACGTTTGTAAAATTGTAAAGCATTTTTTAATTGGTGCAGGCATTGGTATTTCTGGGAAGTTGATGTTAATGCCTATGTTCTGCCAGAATGATGTCAAAGACATAAAAACACCAGACAGAGAAAGCATCGGCATGAGAAAAACTTTGAAAAAATTTTAAGGGGGTTTTTGTAGGAAATGAATTTTTGTTATTTTATTGTTAATTTATTTAAGGGTTTCGTTTTGCGAAAAAAATGTACAATACGCAATTTCGCTAAAAAAACATTTAGCTAGCAATTTCGACCTTTGACTCCACTCAAGACGTCACTTTTTTAATTTTGCGGTATCATATTTTTGGAAAATCTTTATGAATATTATATAAAAAGTCTCTTTAATATCTATATTTCATATTTTTATCGATTTTTAAAGTTTTTGCGAAAAGTATTCAATTATTTTTGCTATTTGGTCGGGTAAATGTCAGATTTGCGACATTTTCTGATATGATATTCAGATTCTACGTTGATAATAATGCTTATAGTGTTGTAAACAGAAATTCATCAAAAGTGACACCTCAGAAAAGCTAAAATATTGAATTTTTGGAACTTTTGATAGAGCACGTTTTTAAATATTAATTAAAGTAAATGTATATTTTGTAAAGATTCTTTTTAATAAAAAAATAAAATTTTGAAGAAGAACACAAAATCTTCTGAAAAATAATATCACATAAACTCATATTATTTTCTAATATATAACTATTTTATATAAAAATCAAATTCAATGATCTTAAAAGCGAAGGATAAACCTCAAAATTTACGAATATAATGAGTGGGAATATAATGCTTATCTATCATAAAACCATATGAAATATCAATTTTTGCTTTACGCCTAATTTTTGACGACAATTAGCAAAAAATGTTAAATGTTAACACTCAGTCCATTTGAATATGAAAAATAAAATTGACTTTGATTAAATGTTTTTATTTATCATGCAATTCTTCTTGCGACCAAAGATTTGAATAAAAGTTCAAAAAATAAGATAGCTTAAAAAATAATATACGGTAGTGTTTACTAATAGATGAATAGTATATAAATTCTATTAAAATGGATTTGATCCAAAAAAATATATAAAATTTGATCATAAATAAAATCGTTTTAAATTACTTCTTCATTTAAATTATAACAATTATTTTTGGTTTTATATTTTTTGGATCAAATCCATTTTAATAGAATTTATATACTATTCATCTATTAGTAAACACTACCGTATATTATTTTTTAAGCTATCTTATTTTTTGAACTTTTATTCAAATCTTTGGTCGCAAGAAGAATTGCATGATAAATAAAAACATTTAATCAAAGTCAATTTTATTTTTCATATTCAAATGGACTGAGTGTTAACATTTAACATTTTTTGCTAATTGTCGTCAAAAATTAGGCGTAAAGCAAAAATTGATATTTCATATGGTTTTATGATAGATAAGCATTATATTCCCACTCATTATATTCGTAAATTTTGAGGTTTATCCTTCGCTTTTAAGATCATTGAATTTGATTTTTATATAAAATAGTTATATATTAGAAAATAATATGAGTTTATGTGATATTATTTTTCAGAAGATTTCATTCTATATGCCTATGAAAAGTACTCTCAAAACTAACTTTTTCCTAATTATAATTAAATCTAGAATATTGTATTATGCTTAGTATTATTTCATTTTTCTCATTCAATTTAGAATTTACAAATGTCAAAAAATTGAGAGCTGTCACTTTTGATGAATTTCTGTTTATTACAATAGAACCCTCTTGCTATTGTGTCAAAATTGCGAAACCGATAGCAAAAATATCTCGCAATATCAAAATTGAGATATTGAGTGAATTATGCATTATAGAGATTAAAAATCTGATTTGTGAAAACATCTCATCAGTTTCTAGCTAATTCAAAAATCTTTACTATCTTATTCGATTAAAATGAAAAGGGAATAGTTTCATTATGCTTTAAATGACAGCCTTATAATATAATCATAGTTTTCGCTCAATATGCAGCATTTTTTTTCGAAATCTATGGTCAATGTCCTAAATACTGATTGCTTTGCATTCATATCTCTTACATTTTCTATACCCACATCACTATTCATTGCTATTCCTATCTTTTTCATTTTTGTTTGTTTCTCATAATTTCTCAAAAAACACGATAACTTGATATTTGTAAATATCATACTTTATAACGTAAATAAGAACTTGACCTATTAAGAAAAGCAGTAATGAAAAGAAAATCTGAAATTCATAAAAATTACAAGTTTCTGATGACAATTAGCTTAATTAAACCAGGTACAAGATTATATAATTGTATTTTCTATCCAATTATCCATATAATATCTTATCCAGAAAAAAAAAACTTGATCAATACCAAATGATTTTTTAACTAGTAAATAAAGTATTTTCTTTACACACACATTGTATATCATAGTTTTTTTTTGGTTTCGCAAAACATCCAAAAACAAATATGCTATAAAAGTGACAATTTTAGCAAAACGAAACCCTTAATTTATTTCTAATTAGTAATAGATTTTTGGATTGAGAATTCTTCTCAAAAATCTCACAATTGAAATTCTTTCTGAAGTGTATGCAGAAATTTTATTGTATTATTAAAATAAGATTCAATTAAACGAATATAACATACGACTCTGCTTTCAAGTGAAAAAATTCAATATGATTTTACAATTGAGACGTTTAATGAATGTAACAAAGCAGCAGGAAAGAAAATAAAATATTTAAAAAACAATAGTGTCGAAAGGTTATTTGTTGGAAGTGAAAATTTTTGTAAGAAATATCTATTCATCTGGATGCAATTTCGAAACAAATGTTCAATTGAAATTACGGAAATAGAATCAATGTTTTCAAAAGTTGCCGCCGTTTGCTTTAAATTATTTTCATTTTTGAATTGAAACGGGAATATTAATAAACATTAAAAAACATTCAGATACCATGGAAAACAAATTACTAGAATGCTTTTCAGAGTGTTTCGTTAAACAAAAAAGCAATAAAAATGCTAAAATGAATGAAGTGAATGAATTTCGACAACTAGATTTAAAATTGTACATTTTCAAGCAGTAAATGTCCTTGCATTCCTTATAATACAGAATAGTTTAATTGAAAGATTGAATTTAAATTGAATTCAATTAGAAATGAAATTTGATGAGACAACTCGGAGTTGATATCAACAGCGATAATATATGACTCATCTTGAGAAAAAAACAACTAATATACATGAATAGATATAGCAAGATATACATGAGATGATCACATTACTCTTTGAATTTGATGGATAAATGCTAAAATAAGGTGGCCAAAGTCGATTATTGCTAAACGATCATATGTAATCAATATCAAGATAGTCAATTAAAATCATTGTTTTACAGTATTATTGTGTGAAAAAAATCGATATCAATTTCAAAGCGCATTATTTTATAGCTATCAATAGTGTTTATTTTGTCCAAAATTAATGTACAGAATTTGAAAATTGAATAGATTATCTTTTATTAGATCAAAAATAAATAAGATAATGATTGGTATAAATTTTACAAAAGGAAAAATTGCAAATAATCAATATTTTTCATCAAGGGAAGCGATTTAAGCGCAAAATATAGTGTAAAGTAACCTCTATATGATGACCTATTTAGTTTCAATAGTTCAAATTTAAGAGAAGTGAAATAAGAGGAAAAAATGACAAATTAATTCATCAAAAAGATGCAAAATATATTTTGATTAAATACTATTTATAAATAAAATTATTTAAACATAATTTTGAAAGAAACTGATTATCGATATTTTTCACAAAAAATAAAAGGGTAAAAAATAATAATATTACATAAAGTATCTTAATAAATCGGAATTGTATCTTTTTTTATAATTATGACTTTTGTTAAGGTAAACAAAATTAGCCAATGTTTCTGAATTTCAAATGAAATCGAATTCAGGATTTATTGAATAAATCGATTACTTATACATAATATAGTAATTTTGCAAAATGAAACCAATGATTCCTTTCAACTACAAATTTAATTTTGCAAATTATCTCAGACTTTTCAGAGGATTGAGTGGCAACTCAATCCTCTGAAATAGTCTGTGGTAATTTTTAGTCTCTACACTATTTCAATATAAGCTCCATTTTTAAACAGTTTTTAAAAATCGAGCATTGAAAAGTGTGATGAGACTTTGCAAATTACCTCAGACTTTTCAGAGGATTGAGTGGCAACTCAATCCTCTGAAATAGTCTGTGGTAATTTTTAGTCTCTACACTATTTCAATATAAGCTCCATTTTTAAACAGTTTTTAAAAATCGAGCTTTGAAAAGTGTGATGAGACTTAAATTTTTAAAATGTTAGATATCAACCAGATAAATATATTATTCACAATGTTTTAAATTACTAGTCGGTTGCGTTATCTCTCAATTTTGAGAGAGATATCTCTCCACAGTTACGATAAAAAAAGTTCGTGAAGTATTCATCGATCTGATGAGCGGAACTTCACATTTTTCAGAACGCAAATCAGAACATGGAAAACGAAAATTTACAGAGGAAGAAGATAAAACTATTCTGGAAATGGTTGAAAAAAATGGAGTTCATTATTGGAAACAAATAGCAGCAGTATTGCAGGACCGAACTGCGAGGCAGGTTCGTGAAAGATGGAAACACTATCTTTCACAGGATATACAAAAAGCACCATGGACTCAAGAAGAAGATGATCTTTTAGAACGCCAATATAGAAAATACGGACCTAAATGGAGTTTAATCGCTGGAATGCTTCCTGGTAGAACCGACGTAAATATAAAGAATAGATGGGCTTTATTATGCAGAAAAAAAACAAAAGAAATTATTAATGCACAAAATAACATGACAATGCAGGATGCGCTAGCTTTGCAAGCAGTTCAACTCCCTATTATAGAAGAAAATGTAGCTTTTGAACGTTTATTGAAAGAATTTTCTAGTATTCAAGATAAAGTCAACGAAGATGTTGCTGACGATTTGTTTACCCACTTTAATTTTTAGATTATTTATTATATGAGTATAGAATTATTATTTTTTGTAATTATTTCTTAACTATCTATAAATATAAATGTTTTTATTTCAAATCTATAAATACATTTTCATCTGCTTATGGGCAATTCATATAGATAGGGTCTTTAGGACTAATAATTCAAAAGATAAATCCAATTTCGATTTGCAAAATATCAGAAAATTATAAATACAATACAAAAATTTGTAGAACTTCGGATGTTTTGAAAACTGCCTGAAATTAGCATCGGAAACATCAAATAAAAAATATAGACAATTTAAGAGCACTTACAAAAATACTAAAGTTATGTTCCAGATGACTCATTTTAAATCAATTTTAATATCAAGTGAGGATCTTGGACTTTTTAAGCCAAACTCCTTCATGAAGTGAATTGTATTACCTCAATTGCGCCATATAATACTTTATAATACAACCTTTCCCAAATGATTCTTAAATTTTGAAATTCATTAAATCATATGATTCTATATATATCTTATCAAAAACGCAGCGAAGTAAAATTGAATAAAAAGTGGTTTTAAATCGATAGAATGCTATTTTATATTTAAGATTTGTGATCAAAATTACATGTTAATTGAATTATTGTTGATAGCATTTTTTTACATGGTATTCAATTTATCTATTGTATTTTAACAAACATGATTGCTATTATATATAGTGACTAAAAAAGTTAAGATTAAATTTGAGAATGTATCAATTTATTTATTCTCAATTTTTATTCTACAAGTTTCTTTCGTTTTAATACGTTACAAATCATAAGCTAAATTTGAACCTTTACTTTTATTCAAAACGATAGTCAAATCAACCAAATATACAAGATCTTATGCTATGTTAAAATTTCTTATCGATTTTTGGCTGTAAATTTAAACTATCAAAATTAAAATTCTATACATAAAATTTCTCATCAATGTTCTTCTTCCTGTCGTTAGCATCGTGCAACAATATTATTGTAATAGATGCTGGTAGTACAGGATCTGGACTTTATATTTATTCATATGAAAACTCAGATGATCTTAATTCTTTCACAGCATTTCGTGATTCGCAAGGGCAACAAGCTTACTTTCGTTCGAATATTCCTTTCCATACCTCTATTAATGATACACAAAAATTAGATCAAGTTTTCACTGAACTAATCGTCAACGGGTCAAATATTTTTCTATCACCAGTCAATAGAACTTTAACACCCATTTTTATACTTTTAACAGGTGCAGTCCGAATCCTTCCGAAAACAGAGCAAGAGACAATTCGCACTGTTTTATATAAATATCTAAAATCACATTTTGATTATGAGATTAAATATAGTTATGTTCGGGTAGTCAGTGGCGATGAAGAAGGCTTATTTGCTTGGATATCCACTAATTTTATTTGTGGCTTTCTAAAATCTGGAAATACAATTGCCGTTGCAGAAATGAGCGGTACTTTTCTTCAATTTGCTGTAGAAGCTCCAAAAGATTATCCATCCGGTTTGAAAAAGTGTTTATATCGAATTAACGATGGAAACCACACTTACAAAGTTTTTTTCCATTCATGGAATGCATTCGGTGATAAAAGTGTTACTGATTACGTTGATCAATACATTTATAATACAACGGGAAAAACGGTTTCTCCCTGTTATTTCAATGAAAGTGTTCAAGAAATCGTTCTAAAGGATGGACCACATAACTTTACAGGCCAAACTAACTTTGATAAATGCCAAGAACTGATTGCAATGGTTTATTCCAAGCTACAATCAAATCTTTGCGGTAAAATTCCAGCATTTTTCATGGATGGTGACGAATGCATCCCATATCCAGGTGATGTAGAAAAAATACATACTTATGGAGTGTTTTTCTATTCATTAGATTTTTTGAATTATTCATCTTACGCGGATTTCCAAAACTACATCGACACCATATACAAACTAGGAAACCTGACATACCCAGAAGCTCAAAATTTGAATGTCTCCTATAAATACACAAAAAGATGTCTTATGCAAGCCCACATGGTCATAAGCTTCCTTATAAGAGGTCTGAATGGAGATTTTCACAGAATGTATAGATACAGACGTGATGAACTCGCAAGTTTATCTTTGGATTGGACATTTGGAGCTGCTATCTACATGTTTTTGTCTGTTTTGATGTTTGGATCTCCATGGTAGTATGCAGTGATAGGAATTATTTCAGGAGTTGCACTTGTTGAAATAATTCTTTTGATAATTATGTGTTTTTATGTTAGAAGACGTAAGTTCGGTTATAGAAGACCAAGTGAAGCTGTTGCAATCGATCCATGATTGCATATTTTATATAATAACAAAAAAAAATTATATTAATAATTATACGAATATATATGAATTTATATATGTTGTTTGTTATTCCATAGTTATTTTAGTAAAAATTTATCATGATATTCTTATCATCTTTTTATTTTTTTAAATCAAAATAATATTTCTATGTTTTTTCCTTCGTTGATAGTTCAAAATCAATGGAAACTTATCTATCGTTCTCTTTTTCTCATCTAACGATATATGTACCATTCCTTTCTATAAAATGTTAAATATTCCTTGTCTCATCTAATATTGATAATATTGCCGTGATTTCTTTTAAAATGATTGAAAAGCAGGATTCTCTTAATGTGATTTGCGCACAACGTAATGAAGTATATATTTACTCGAATTCATGAAAGTAAAAGATCAATAAAAAACATTCATTTCAATCTTTAAATAAAAATCAATCTAAAGAGTTCACTCAGTTGAGTTATGATAAAAAAATTACAAAAAAAAATTAAAACTTTTAATACAACAATAAAAAAAAACTTTAAAATTAAAGTTCCAAAACAGTATCAGTAATTCTAACTTTGAGTTGAGTAGCAACTTTCATTTGGATCTTCTTTGTCTTAGGCATATGGTATTCCTGCATGAAGTATACATTGTTTCCGCCTGTTCTTTCATCATGATCCTTTCCGTAAGTTCTTTTCAGTCTGTATTCAACTCTTTCCAACTGTCTGATCTTTCCCATCATTCCTCTTGTCATTCTTGTTGTTGATCCTTTCTTCTTATTCATGTTCAAGTCATTCTCCAAGTCAGCTTCCTTCTTTATATCATTAGATGTTGCGCAACACTTTGGACATGATGTATGTAATCCGCATTGAGGATTTGCGTGGAAACAATGTCCGCATTTATAAATTCTCATTCCAATTCCTCCGGCGCCAGTAATTGGCTGTCCGCAAGCAGCGCAAACAACTTCGAAAGCTGTATTCGCTTGGGAAGACATGAAACCAATGCCCTGTCTCAAACTCTTGCAGTCGACAATGAGCATGTCTTCGACATTGTTTGAAAGAACGTTTTGATAATTCAAGTATCTAAAAACGCTCTCGAAAATTAATCTGTTTTGATCAGTGTTCAAAAACTGGAAATCATTTGATAAAATGTCCAAAGCCAATTCAGGAGTTGATCTCGCGATGATCTGTACAATGAAGTAGCTGAAGAATAAAGAGATTCCTTGGCTTAATGACCTGTATTTCTCTTTCTGGCTGAGATACATCGGCAACTTAAATCCGAGGAACAAATTCTTCCAAATTTGATCCAAAGCAGCTCCTTGTCTTGGAGATTTCGCGAGTAACTGGAATGCCATGTCCAAATTGGCCAATGCCTTCTTTAACTTGGGTTCAGAAGGAACTCTATCAATTGATTTAATATTCATCTCTTTTCCACACTCTTTTTCCATCGTGATAAACAATTCTCTCTCGATTTCTTTCCCGAGTAATTCAATCGCGTGAGGAATATCAGTGTGAAGAGAATAAATGTGGATACAAGCATCGACAACATGGTTTTCTATGCAGATATCCAAATAAGAAGACTTTCCTTTGTTGAACTCTTCTTCGTTCTCCATAATTACGCCTTCTTTCAACAAACTGAGTGCGTTTTCTTTCTCGTAAATACAGACAGACTTGAAATAAACAGATTGGATTTGTGGATCACTGAATATTTCTCTGAAGATCTGGTATTTGTCTTTTAGTTTAGCAACAGCACTTAAGTATTTGTAGACAACAACATCAGGTTTATTACATTTGTTTGATATGATATTCCTGTGTATTTCTTTCCAGTTCTCTTTCTGTGTCAATAATTCAACACTTTGTATGTTATCAATTAATATCAATGCTCTGAAGATTTCTTCACTGAAAACAGCTTCAGACATTGCTTGTTTGTTTGAGGATTTGATGAACTCATTGATGGTATTGAAGACTTTCTTTCTATTGTCAGTGGACATGATATATGCTTCAATGATTTTCTTGCATTTTTCTGTGGTCATTTTCGCGTTCTTTACGTCTTCAATTCCTGAGTAAGCGTTGTTTGAATAAACTTTAAGAACAATGTCAATGAAACCACATCTTATGCAGTGAGGAATGAGAATAGAATCAACGGAATCGATGTTGATAATATCCCTGTAATTCGCTGACAATGTTCTCAACAATGTTTGTCTGGCATCGACATTTCCTTGGCTTGAGAAAATCCAGCGAACTAACATCTGTACAACGCAAAGAGGGAATGTTCTGACGTGGTCTGCTGTGTAACTCGCGATGTTATCTAAGATAGGACTGACGTATTTGTACTCGCAATCACTGAGAACGAGAATTGTCTGAGAAACAATGAGTTCTGGAGTTAAATTGCTTCCATCTCTGAATCTGACAATTCCAAATCCAATGATCAACATGATGATGTCACACATCTTTGAATCAGGTCTTTCTATCAATGGCTGGAGTCTGGAACACCTCTTCTCTTGCTTGCCTGGAACAGGGAGAGGTGTGTAAAGCCAAGCAATGATTAGTTTGATGTTCTTGGAGTCGAATTCGGAAGGATTCTCAATGAAAGCTTTGTAAATGAATTCGTAAAGTTTGTTTGCTTTCTGGAGATATGTACAGATTGCAATGACATCGTTGTAGCAGGAAACCCAGAGATATGAAAGTGTCTCCGCGTAATGGTTCTCTCTGGAATATTGGTAGATGTCGTAAGAAAGGTTTTTGACCATTTCGTATTGAGTTGCAAGTGTTTTTTGTGGAAATTGAGGTCCATTTTCTTCATAAAGTAATCTTTTGGCTTCTGTTATTATTGGATCTTCTTTTTCTTCCTCTTCCTCCTCTTCTTCATAATCTTCTTCTTCTTTTGATTCTTCTTTTTGTTGTTCTTGTTCTTCATTTTCTTGTTCTGATGATTTAGAAACTGGATCTTCTACAATAAATACTGATGGTTTGTTCTCTTCTTGTTTTTGCATTGTTTCTTCCTCTTCTTCCGGTGGAGGTTCTAATTCAATTGTTTTTTCTTCTTCTGACTCTATTTGTTTTTGTTCATTTTCTGTTTGTTTTTCTTCTGTTTCTGGTTGTGGAGGTTCAGGAATTTCTACTTGAGCATCAATGTCTATTTCAGGAACAACAATTTCATCTTCTTCTTTAGGAGGAACTTCGATATTTGCAAAAATGTCTCCATTTTCTTCAGTTTTCTCTTCTTCTTTTGGTTTTTCTGGAATTTCTTCTTGTTTTTGTTCTGTTTCTTCTTGTTTTTGTTCTGTTTCTTCTTGTTTTTGTTCTTCTGCATTTGGAGGAATTTCTTCTTTTGGTTTCTCTTGTTCGGATTCTTCTTCAGATGAAGAGTAATACTCTGGTCCACTTGAATAATTCGGATTTTCTTGATCAATTTTGATTTCTCTTGTTTGAACAATTTCATTCTTTGGCTCTATTTCATTAGTTTCTTCTTTTGGTTCTGATTCTTCATGTTTCTCTTCTTCTTCAACATTTTGTTCATTTTCTGCTGGTTTTTCTTCTTCTTTAACTGATTCTTCTTCTTTTGGTTTCTCTTCTTTCTTTGACTCTTCTTCTGTCTGAGGTTCTTTCTCATGTTTCTCTTCTTCAACAGATTCTTCTTCTTGTTTTTGTGTCTCCTCAGCTTTTTCTTCTTCTATTGGTTTCTCTTCAGTTTCTTGTGGTTTTTCTTGATTCTCTTCTTTAACTGATTCTTCTTCTTTGGGTTTTTCTTCAGTTTGTTCTGATGGTTTTTCTTCATCTTTTGGTTGGTCAGTTTCTTCAGTTTCCTCTTTTGGTTTCTCTTCTACTACTTCAGTTTCCTTTGGAGGTTCTTCTGATGGTTTCTCTTCTTGTTTTGGTTGATCAACTACTTCAGTTTCTTGTTTAGTTGAATCTTCCTTTGGTTCTTCAACTTTTTCTTCTGATTCCTTTGGTTTTTCCTCTGTTTCTTCTTTTGGTTTTTCTTCTTCAGTCTTTTGTTCAGTTTCTTTTTGAGGTTCTTCCTTTGGTTTCTCTTCTGTTTCTTTAGGTTTTTCTTTAGTTGACTGTTCCAATTTGATTGAAGATTCAGAGTAGTAATCAGTTGAGTAGTAACCATCACTGTCATCAGTTATATCTTGCTTTCCTGAATTCAACATTTGCTTTGGCTTTGCTTGTTCTTCTTCAACAATTTCTTTGTTTTCATTTTCTTCAACAATTTCTTTGTTTTCTTCAACAATTTCTTTTGGTTTTTCTTCTGTTTCTTTTGGAAGTCCTTCTGTTTTTTCTTTGTTTTCCTCAACAAATTCTTTGTTTTCATTTTCTTCAACAGTCTCTTTTGGTTTCTCTTCTGTTACTTTGTTATCATTTTGTTCAAGAACTAATTTGCTCTGAGACATGATTGACTCAGCTTCATCTTTTGCTTTGGAAATTTCTTCTTTTGTGATCTTTTTCTCTGGTTCATCACCTTTGATGTTCTTTCCAATGATTGATGCAGTGATTCCGCTCTTTATCATGTCCAAAAATGATCCTTTGTTGAATGTATTCGATGGTTCAATACTTCTCTGCTTTGTTTCAACATTTTTAGGTTCAATCAGTTTGATTTTCTGGTCAATTGCTTCTTTGTTAGCAATGTCAAGGAAATCTTTGATGGATTCGAAGTTCTGGATGGATTTTCCTGCCAATGTGATGATTTCTGGGAAAATATATTTATAATAAAAATCTAATCGGTCGTATCCCTTGTAGAGATCCTTTGTAGCCTTGCCAGTGATGAAGCGATTCATGTCCAGCTTGGAAGCAGTCTTGAAAATGCTGATTTGCTCTTCAACGGACCTTTGTATTTCTAATTGGTCGTCTCCTGGGTAAATGTTCTCAATGGACTCCTTCAACGCGGCTTCTAGGAATGGAAGAACTTCTTCCTGGACGGCTGTGCACCTTTCACGGGTGGAAATCGGAACATCGAAATATTGGATGTTACTTCCTTTGTAGACATTAATCGCGATGTTAAATATCTCATCGTATTGACGTTTGTCGCCATGGAAATGTATTAATTGCTTCCAACTGATGAATTTAAGACGATATAAAATTTTTGTGCTCATAAAGTAAAGTGTTTGGTTCTGTACGAAGCGTAAGAATGTTTCATTCAATGCTAAGTTGATTTCGTTGTTCTGAATGAGGCGTAGAGGATGTCCGAGCTTATTTAAAATTAATATCGAAGAATTCACATGATTCTTAAATACAACAGCGGCAATTCCTCCTCTGAACAGGAATGCATCCGTAATCTCTTGATCAAAATCACGATTGTAGCGAGCTTGGTTTTGATAATTTTTTCCAAGCATGTTGTCACCATTTAATGAGAATTCGTAAAGCCAAATAGTGGTTTTACTGTAAATTATGAATGTAACAACTTCGAAATTATTAATTGCACGTAATCTAAACGAATTTTGGCTTGCCTGGCCATAAGGATCGAGCAAAGTGATCTTCTTGGTTTCTGTAAATAATGTGCACCTCGAGTTTTCGACTAAAATGAAGAAAGAACGAAGTTTATTTGTGCAATAAATATCCGAAACACTGATATTCTTGGTTTCAGATAGTAATACGGCTTGTGTGCTTGATAGCGATGGTCTTAATTCAAGTTGGTAATAAGTATCTTCTGTAATTAAGAAAAATGATGATGAATCTTCGGAAAATACGATTGATTTGATGACTTTATCGGAATTCACTTTGTTATTTATGATTCTCATGCCTAACTTTGTATCATAGATCACGTATTTTCCTTTTTGATAGCCAATAATTAAGTGTAATCCATTTGGTGAAACAGCAAGTGCAGATGGATTATCATCGAGTTTATCTTTGGTTACAAATGGAGAAAATACACGTGGATGATACTCTGATTTCATTGGTTTCGCTTGTTCTGTTAAGATATAAATCGCATCTTTGCACAAAGATATGCCTTTCAGATTACTTTCAAATAGATAATGTGATTCGAACTTAAAATCATGAACAATGGACATGTTCAAGTAGGAAATGTTGATATCCTGCTTGACTCCCTCACTCATGAGTTATCTTTGATACGATATCGTCTTTCAAAATTTCACATGATACGGTGGAAATCACTTGAATTTGGATATGAATATGTTTTTGTAGTACTAGAACTGTATGAAACTAGATGAAATTATTCGCATTTCGTTGAAAAAATTATTATTTTCATATCGATCTACAAAAATTTTGTGTTATAGAAGTGATTTTTATGCTCCTCTTGTATTTAAACTAAGGTTACACTATTTAGTATTATAATAAACTCTAATATTAACTGTGAAATTTCGATTTTTTAATAAAAAAATCCAAAAAAATTTCAAAATCTGAATTTCAAATATAAAAAATGTTGAAATGAATATGAATTTTATAATTTTCGAAAAAATTTGGAAAACTAGCACTTCACAAAGACACATCAAACAGCTTCCTTTCACTATTTTTCATCATAAATCCCATTAATTCTTAGAATTCTTAATAAAAAAAGAATTTTTCTCTTCAAAAAGCCCTCTTTATCAATACAAACAAGATGCCTTTAGTATTTAAAAAGATATTCCGAAAGATTAGCCATTAATTCTAATATTTACTCAATAATAAAAACTTATCTCACTAATTTCAAGTTATCTATTCGTTACATCAGTATAAAAGAAAACAGTTTGTACAATGACTCCATGAGAAAGTATAAGAAACTGAGTTTACATCTAATTTCGACAATATTGACATTGAATTTTTTATTCATAATAGTCATTTGATACAAGTAGACCAGAACAATTGATACCAATATTCTTGGCAGTTGGCGATGGCTACTTACATAATAGGTAATATCAAAATTTGATTTACCAAGATTCGCGTGAAAACTATTGAGTTAATTCATTCGATCCTATCATTTACTTTAATTACATTACTTATTATTAAAAAAACAAACAAATATTTGAATAGTTAATAATCTTTTACTTTTTGTTACAGATATTAATGAAATAGATCCTTTATGCTCTGTAGCCGTTTGGATTATGGGACTGCCAGTTCCATGAATCGCGAACCATATCTTCGATTGTCTTTGTAGCAGTCCATCCAAGGACTTCCTTAGCGTATGATGGGTCAGCAACGACTGTTGGAAGGTCACCTGGTCTGCGGTCGACGATCTTGTATGGGATTTCGATTCCATTAACCTTTTCGAAGGCATGGACGAGTTCAAGGACGGAGCAGCCATTGCCTGTGCCAAGGTTAACGATGAGTGGTTTGCTGCCTGGATGAGCGTTCAAGTAATCCAAAGCCTTGACGTGGCCGATGGCAAGATCGACAACGTGGAGGTAATCTCTGACACCAGTGCCATCGCGTGTTGGGTAATCGTTACCGAAAACGTTTAAGTGTGGGCGCTTTCTGACAGCGACTTGGGAAATGTATGGCATTAAATTGTTTGGAATACCGCTTGAGTCTTCACCAATCATGCCTGACTCGTGAGCACCTACTGGGTTGAAGTATCTAAGGAGAACGATCTGCATCTTGTTATCGGCAACGTAGCAGTCTTGGAGAATTCTCTCGATGAAGTACTTGGATGTGCCGTATGGGTTTGTTGTGCCACCAACTGGGAAATCTTCCTTGATAAGTGGGGCATTTGGATTGCCGTAAACTGTAGCGGAACTTGAGAAGATGATCTTCTTGCAGTTGTATTCGCGCATAACATCAAGAAGAACGAGTGTTCCGTTGACGTTGTTGTCGTAGTATTCGATTGGCTTGACAACAGATTCACCGACAGCCTTTAAGCCAGCGAAATGGATAACTGAGTCTGGCTTGTACTGTTCGAAGCAGGCCTTTAAGGCAGCTCTGTCTCTGATGTCGCCCTTAACGAACTTGACGTCCTTGTTGATGAGCTTTGAAACTCTCTTCAATGATTCGTCGCATGAGTTGCTGAGGTTGTCGAAGACAACAAAGTCATATCCAACCTTGGAAAGTTCAATTAACGTGTGGCTTCCAATGTAGCCTGCACCGCCGGTGATGAGGATTGTCATTGAAAAAAATTATCCTTTTTTCTGAAGAAATTAAAATTGAGACCAGATAGGTGTTCAATTCATCTTTTTCATTGTTATAGACCGAAAATAGATTTTTTCGGTTTTCTCTTCAAATAATTGAAAGAATGATACTATTATAGGTTTATTATATTATATAGCATATAATCATGCTATAGCCGAAAATTATAAGTTTTGAGAAGATTGAATATAACACAAATAAATTTGAATGTAAGTTAAATTGCTTGTTGTTTTTAATAGCTATTTAATGGGAAATCCAATATTGCAAAATTCAAATTGAATGATTGAAAGAACAGAAAAAGTCATTCTTTTCAATTTCGAATATGTTTCATTGTATTTATAATTATATGGCAAATAAGATATTTAAACTTGATTTTTGAAGGAAAATTCACAAAATTGAATAAATTCAAATAATTTTTATTCAAAAATAAACTAGTTATTTGAGTTTAATACTAATTATCTATTCAAACTACAAAGTTTGTAATTTAAAATATTTTGTGAGATCAGATTGAATTAATTCAAGGTTCTTTTCAATTAATATTAATGACCATATTACGCATTTTCGAACATTCTAAACCAAATATATAAAAATTGGAGACGAATGTTAAATTTGCTAGACATGGGGGAGTTGTCTGCAAAGTTTTAGCTCTTATCTCTAACAAAAAATTAATTTTTAAAAAAATGACCGAATACGTTTCACAGCGAGAAAAAAATAAAAGGCAAGATAGAATTTTCTAGACATAAAGAAGTTGTTTACCGAGTTTTAGCTCTTATCTCTAACAAAAAATTAATTTTTAAAAAAATGACCGAATACGTTTCACAGCGAGAAAAAAATAAAAGGCAAGATAGAATTTTCTAGACATAAAGAAGTTGTTTACCGAGTTTTAGCTCTTATCTCTAACAAAAAATTAATTTTTAAAAAAATGACCGAATACGTTTCACAGCGAGAAAAAAATAAAAGGCAAGATAGAATTTTCTAGACATAAAGAAGTTGTTTACCGAGTTTTAGCTCTTATCTCTAACAAAAAATTAATTTTTAAAAAAATGACCGAATACGTTTCACAGCGAGAAAAAAATAAAACTGTACACTGATTTTAATTTTCATTTCCAGTCACTTTACTTATTATTTTTTATTTTTTTTCATTTTAATTATAAATTATTTCATAATACGTTTATTTACGTTACCATTTTCTTTATTCTTTTGAATTCCATATTAGACACTTATAGAATATTTTGATTGTTAACGTACTTCATTAGAATGAATCCTTACAAAGGGTATGTCGATCGAATTTACCTAATTGGTATTTCCAATCAGATTGAAGAAGGTAAAATGACATGGGAAGAAGCTTGCACCCATGTTCCCATCGCCCCAACCCTTCAATCAAATGATTTCAAATATTTAGATGTTTCAAAATCTTTTTTACAAAATCAATTTAGCTTACAGAATATCCCATTGCCTAAAGGCAAGAAAGGTCGTAGGGTCAATCCCTACGACCAAATCAAAGCTCTTGCTGTGATACATGACCACTGGGCCTTTCCCTGTGGTCAAACAAAACAATGGAAACGTTTGAAATTACAACAAATTGATGTATCTTATAGAGAAGTACGCAGATACTTCAAAGAAAATCATTTCACCAAGACGCGATTAGAGCATGCCGGGCCAGAAACAGCAGTAAGATATTGGGCGCTTTCACCCAATCTTATCTGGCACGCAGATGTTCATTATTTTAGGGGTGTTCGTGGCCAGTATATTTATGGCATAATCGACGATTTTAGCCGCAAAGTCCTAGCGTGTATACAAATACCAGATATGCTGGCAGCGACGGCAGCGAACGTTGCGGCTTCCGCCTTCATTGAATTTGGCGCCCCTTATTGTTTCTGGACCGACAACGGTTCAGAAAATAGGGGCGCCTTTCAAGATCTACTTGATCTTTGGGGCGTCCAATGGCGGCATACAGACTCTCATTCTCCCTACCAAAATGGGAAGATTGAGAGATTCTGGCCGACATTGGAGCGCTGCCAAAGCATTCAGGCTATTCCTGCCTTTATTTGGGAGTACAATAATAGTTAGTATACAAGTCTTGGGTATGGTGGCACTGCGTTCCACCTTACCCAATACTTGTGAATTTGACACTTTACAAAACCATTAACGTATATTTTACAACATGAACGCAAAAACTAACTTAACCTTAAATATTTACAAAGCCGCCAACAATTTCACCTCACTATCGTTCTCACTAACAACTTCACTAATGTTCTCATAAATTTTCCTCAATATCTTCATCATCAGTGTTAACCCTATTGTAGTCATACTTGAAGCCATAAACTTTCTCTAACTTCTTAACGTACAATTTACATAACTTACCTTCGTCATCGTATGGTTTAATGATATAACTATTTCTATCTTTATAAACAGTCAATGAAAAGTCAACTGGTCTCGGATGTATTTGAAAGAACATGTTATGCTCAGGAAGGAAGAATAAATGTTTAAATGTATGTTTGTTATATGTTTTGATTTGTATGAGTTGCTTTTGTTCTGTCATTACATCCAAATAAAATAAAAATAATTTTAAAAAATAAAATAAAAAATAAATGATCTCACCACCCTCACACGTATGAAAACATAGCACAAAAATAAATTTAGGTGAAGTGGTGAGATCTAACCCGATTTCTAACCCGATTTCTAACCTCATTTCTACCCTGTTGAATTCATTGCTTTATAACTCTCTTCCTTGGTTTCTTTTTAGTTGCTTTCTTCACGTCTGTCTCCAACTTGACTGTCTTTCTTCTTCGTCCATAATGATACCAATTACTTCCACCAGTCAATGGGTCAAATGGTCGTTCATAAGGGTTTCCATACATTCCATAAGGTCCGTATGGATAAACCGCTGGTGGAGAAGAAACATTTTCTTTAGTTCCATCGACTCTATTTAAATGCATTGTTTCACCTTTCATCTGGTCATTAAAGTCTTTTGCGTGTTTTGCAAACTCATCGTCCTTTCCTAAAGCATTTTCTGACTCAGTCGCAACCAAATTGGATGCTTTATTTATGAGCCCTATTTTATTTAATCTTAACTTCTTTGCAACCCAGCCTCCAATCTTTCCTTTATTTGCATCTAATGTCTTTGAAACCCTTCCTCCACTCATTTTATTTACTGCGTCATAAGCTCCAAGTGCTTTTGCTCCAAATGCTAATGCTTTTGTTCCCATTGCGCCTAAAGCTGCCCAAGCTACCATTTACCCCATATTAAAATCATCTCTCTTCAATATTATCTCATAAAAGTTCTCGTTACTGGAGAAAGTCAATGAAACATAAACATTCTCACGGGCTTCACCCTCACCGCTTTGCGGTCTATCTAACTTCTTTCTTATCTCATCTATTCGCTTCAAAATGTCTGAACAATTGCTAACATCTTCTACAACAGTTATTTCATCATGAACGACCTTTAAGAACAAGCTCATTTAATATGCAATTAAAATCATCTCAATAATGAGTCCATCCTTTCCATCTTTAGGTAGCACAACATCTTTCATTGAAGAAGGTTCGACAAGTCTTATGTTAAACTTACTGACAAAGTTTGTTATACTATAATGCTTCGGTGGCGAATACATGTAGTTTGAAAGACATAATATAGATTCTTCAGCAAATTCACTTATACTGGATTTTATAACAATGTTCTCACGAGACCAAACGCCACCAATTGACAATCTTGTAAGCAATCCTGCTGAGCCTTCAACTGTAAACGTCGATGGTAACATTCCACGAAGGTCATCTATTGACATCTTTGAGTCACTGAATTTAAATATTTTCTTAAAGCAATCGTCATTATCTAACCATGCAATAGCTTTGAAGTTTTCATTCGAATATACATCTGCTTCATTAAATGTAAAACCTGACTTCTTTGCAGAGACGACTTTAAAATCTATTGAGTTTGTTTCAAAATTATATGCTATGGTAACTTCTGAAGGTAATGGATGTCCTTCCGCAGTCAGTTGTTCTCTCACTACCGTTTGAAGCTTTGTATTAAAAACTTTCATGTCATCTCCTGTATCTAAGTTCACATACACAGCAACAGGAAAACTATCTTGCTTCTTTGTTTCATCATTATATCTCAAAACATTAAAGTTCTTCAATAATATTGTCCTTCCTGCTGGAATACTTCTAACTTGTCTTATTTCAATAGCTTTCTCACCTCCTACATACTCTACCCAGTGTCTTGGATATTCATAAGTATACTGACTTTCTTGAATTTTGGTTGGTTTCATCATAACGTGTTCATAGTATATCTTTATACTCTTGTCAGTTAGACTCGGTGCTATGTTCTGAATATTTCTGACTTGCATTTTTAATGGAGATAAAATGAAGCATTTAATACATGACGTAGATGAAGACATGAATGAAACTACAGACAAACTTAACTCTTCTCTTATTCTTCCTTTCAGCAAAGATTATGAATTCTGTTCAAATGGTGTGTATTTCTATTGTGGAAAGATGGGTTCAGGTAAGACATTTAACCTCATTCGTCATATACTCATAACAGAGCGTTTAGGAAACGACTCTTACTATGACCAAATCATTATATCAGCAACTTCAGACTCTATGGATTCAACAGCGAAAACATTCATGAGTAAAGTTCAAGCATCTGTCGTTAAAGTTCCAGATAGCGAACTCATTGAATTTCTTCAACGTTACATTCGACGTAAGAGAAAATATTATGCTATTGTAGAGTTCATACAGTCAGGAATGCAAAAGACTTCAGAAGAGATGGAAAGAATTATTGACAAACACCACTTACGTCAGTACTCAGGAGTTTACGATATGAAACGACTGACAAACTACATTCTATCAAAACTTTCAAAATACCCCTTCAAAAAGTATCCTTCAAACACTCTGCTCGTTTGTGACGACTTCGCCGGAAAAGGTTTAGTGTCAAAGCCTGACTCACCATTAGCTAACATCATTACTAAAGTCAGACATTACCATTTAACTGTAGCAATACTTATGCAAACATGGAGGTTTCTTGCTTTAAACATAAAACGTCTCATAACTGACTTCGTTATCTTTCAAGGTTTCTCACGTTATGATATTGAACTCATTTGGAAACAGTCAGGTATAACATTACCTTTTGAAGAAATTTGGGAAGCATATAAGTCTCTCATCTCTCCTCGTTCATACCTTGAGATTCATATCATGACTAATACCATTAAAGTCAAAAATATTCCATGGGAACGACCAACATTGTTTTAAATCTTATGCTTTAATTGACTGATGGTAAACAAATTCCATGCATCTCTGTCGCCATTTCTGTTAATATTTTTGCTGTCATTCATATCATCCACTTCCCCATCCGTTAGCTTTTGAGGATATGGGTTAGAATAGCTGTTCTTAAATGAAGGCTTTTCACCTTTGAGAGCATAAACTCTATAACTTTCTGCATACTTTATGTTTGAACCTCCTGAGCCATCATTGACATAAATTTTTATAGGCTTCCACCCTTTGTTCATATTCCTGCTTCTTCCCTTTGCTCTTTTGTTCAGTAGTTCTACATCTTTATACACAGCTCCTGTCTCAGTGAATTCAACAATATTTTCATTCGTTAGCTTTACATTCAAACCCTTGTCGAGTATATTGTTCATTTCATACATATAAAAGGTTTTTATTCTATATGAAATGAGAAGCAAATCCATCTTAGCTGGTGCCGTTAATGTTCCAATTGAACCAACATCAAATGTTGACTCACGAACGACAAACAATATTGTCATAAAGAACTATAGTTCGGAGTGTTTGAAAGAAAAAGAACCAGATCTTAAGTCGGTGAATTTAAACACAACTTCAAACGCTAACGCTACATCAGATGTTAAGTTAGAGTATCCACCACTGGACCAAGTTCTTTCAAGAGAAGCCAACGACAACCCTTACACAAATGTTCAAACAAATCCTTCAGATAACGTAGACCATTACCTTCTTCAGTTATACCAAACAATTTTACTCAAAGACGATAAGAAGCTTTTGACAAATCTTATAAGTAAGAACCAAATAATTCTAACAAAGGAGGACCTTGAAAATATTATATCACGAATAACAGGAAAGCAATGTGTCATTGACTATCTCGACCCTGAAATCGAATGCTGTGGTCAAACTCCAATATTCATGAAAATAGGTAACATCCGCATCATTGAAACACCAGGTACTCCAGGAGTTGAGTTTAAGTATAAATATTCGAACGAGTATACAAAACTATCTACTTACTATAAGCTTTGTTTGAAATATGTTTTAGTAAATTAAAGCAATTTGTAATATCTATCCAAAACTTCTTCAACAGTATCGAACTCATCTTCATAATGCAAACCTAATCTTATTGACTTGGTGCAGTTTTCACTAACACAATATTTTTCTGTTCTCTTGACTGACATTACTAACTCATTTGTTTCATCAAACAGCAACAACCAAAGTTCATGACCTAATACATAACATTCATACTTTATATTTTTAGCTCTGAGTTCTCTTGTAAGCTGTTGCATTTAATATTTTCTAAAAAGTCAACTTCAACAGTCATTCGCACTGGTGCCTTCAGTTCTACAGGCTCTCCTTGAAAGTCAACAAGTCTGAATTGCATGTCTTTCAAATTATGAGGACTAATGCGAACCCATTTACCTAAATGAGTTGCTATGACAGGAACGTTTGGAATGAACATTGAATTTACTTCATAACAGAAGGATTTATATTCTACTGAACCTTTACTATTAACTCCTGAAATACCTGTGACATTAGCTATTTTTGACTCAATGTACAAACAATTGCCATAACATACGTATGGAACAGATTTCATCTCAATCGTTTTGTCAACACTTTTCAAAGGAAATGTCATATGGTATGCTCCCAAAAGAAGTTGTACTCTATGACTCATTCTTGGTATCTTAAACTCTTTCGCATAACTGAACTTCAAAACTCCTGCAATAAGTTTAACATTCATTAAGTTTTCTCCGTTATCCTTGTTTATTGTAGTATTTATGAGAGCATTTAACACTCCAGCTAATGTTTCCATCTTATATTCTACATTATTGTGAAATCTTATTTCGTGCTTCTTTCCATCTATTTCAAGCTCCATGAAATCTGTTTCGTCAGTTATAACGAATGAAGCAATAGTATTAAAGTCAACCATTTCTGAATGCAAGTGGCTCATTCTGTAGACCTAAGTTTGTTTGTAGTTTTACTGTCCCGTATTCGTTTGGGTCTGTACTTTGCAAATAGAACAACATTTTATTCTCATTAAAATATGAGTATAGCTGCATATGCGTATGAAGCTGACAGAGCTAAACGTTTATATTTTGGTCAATACTCTCTCACACTTACTGACAAATATATTGTTATCAGTGATGGAAATACCGAGAAATACATAACATGGAAGGACTATGAAAAGTTTGACCCCATTTTAACTCCATGCACTATGCCATTCATTGTAAATGGTGAAGTTGTCATGAAGAACGACACAACAGTATATAAGTCTGTTCATGAAGCGTTAGAATATATGTTGAATTATAATCCCGAAAGATTTGACCCAAGCACTACGCCATGTACAATGCCTTTTATTAAGGATGGTGAAATCGTAAGAGTTCCGAATTCAACAGTTTACACAGCTGTTCAAAACAGTTTACAAAACATTTTAGCGAATATCTTTAATTCAGAAACTACAGAAATAAAATTACCATATATAACAGATGCTAAAGAAATTAAATCAAAAACGACAACATTATTTACGTCACTTAATGATTTAATGACTTATATCATTAATATCCTGCACCAACTATAGCATTTGATCCAAACTCGACGGTTTGCAGTGTACCTTTCATAAATGACAGTTCATTAATTACTTTAAGGGATTCGACAGTAAATGAATCATTAAAGGCGTCATTAATGAAAATCATTGATTTTAATTCATTCATGAATACATATAATTCATTCATTAATGTTTCATATGCTTCTAAAGAAGGTGAGCCAAAAACTATCGATAAAGCGGTGTATGAAATAAAAGCATCAACGACGAAATTGAATTCGTTAACTTTTGACGGTGATAATTTCGTTAATGACATAACATCGGGGAAAACAATTTTAACGAAAGAATATTTAAAATCTCATGTTAGTGAGTTCGTTGAAATTGAAAAAGAAGGTGGAATTAAGTTCGATCCACTGAATTTCATTTTCAGCTTAGCGAATGCGGGTATTAATTTTGCTGAATGGACAACAATACGGAGTGAAATAAATGCAATATGGACGTTTTTGGGGTCAAAAGCGGGAATGGGTGAGCTTGTAAATGCTGCAAGAACATTAGGTGAAACAGGAAATTTTGTAGATGGTTTTAAAAGACTTGTTTCAAATGTTTTAACAAACACAAAGAAATTATTTAGATATACCATACATAACGGTCAGATTTTCGAACAGGTAGCAACAAACCCTCCGGTTATGGCTGCGTTGATGATGGTTAGAGATATAAAACCACGTAACGACGGGAACGAAGAACATGAACAACAGGATACTGGTCGGGTTATTCGAGACATTAAAAACGTGTATCCTGAAGTTATTGATTTATTTAGAGGAGTTAATGATTCAATTTCAAAACATTCTATAACCCTCGATGAAGAGAATAAATTAACAGATTATATATTTGTCATTATTGCAGAATTAATGAAGAGAATAAATGAAAAAGGAATTGGTGATATCATTAATGTCAGCGATGTAATGATGAAAAGAAATTTTGACTCATTATTTACAAAACCGAAAACAGAATATAGTCTTTATGACGTAATTACCGAATTAATGAAAAAGATTAATGATAATAAGAGTTCTGGCGGAAGAGTTGAATTAGAAGTGAATGATGTTAATGAGAAATTAGCCGAAAAAGCAAACAAAAATGAGCTTTTAGCTCTGAGTGATAAAGTCAAGAACCACGTTCATTATATAACTTCAGACGAACAGATTATAACGGACTACCATGGATATTTAACACGAAGTGATGAAGCGAAGACAAAAAATGTTAATGAAAGAAGATATAAATACATTCGTGCTAAAGGTTATGACATAAGCTGTACTGTACAGTATGATGTAGCTAAAGCACCAGAAGCATTTGGTTATACCGGTGAAATTTATGCCTCTACTTTCTCTGTTAAAGGTGTATTAGTTGAACCAAGATTTACTTTGAGAGTTAAGTCAAAAATAACGTTTGAAGATGCTATTAAAAGTAAAGCTGACAAAGTTGAACTCGAAGCAATGAACAAAGTTTTGAAATCTCATAAACACAACATCTCCGATATAAATGAACTTCAAGCTACATTAGACAGTAAAGCCGACAAGAACCATACACATAAATCCTTCACTACTGTTAGAGCAGACGACATAATATTGAACTATACCCTTGGTTCAAATGCACCATTAGAGAATCCAAGTACAAGCGTAAAAGATACACTAAACAATTTAGATAACAGTTGCAGGAATATCGAAGATCATGCCAGAAACTTTGAAGCATACGAACTACCAGCAATGTTAGATAAGAAAGCCGACAAAAACCATACACATAAATCCTTCACTACTGTTAGAGCAGACGACATAATATTGAACTTTGACCTTGGTTCAAATGCACCATTAGAAAATCCAAGTACAAGCGTAAAAGATACTCTTAACAATTTAGATAACAGTTGCAGGAATATCGAAGATCATGCCAGAAACTTTGAAGCATATGAACTACCAACAATGTTAGATAAGAAAGCAGACAAAACAGAGCTTCAAACATTAAAGACTGAAATACTTCAAACATTATATCCTGTTGGTTCTTTATATACGTCAATGAACTCAACAAATCCGGCAAGTGTTTTAGGTTTTGGTACGTGGGAACAGATTGTAGATAAATTCCTCTATTGTGCTAATAGTTCAAAGGAAACAGGTGGTTCGAAGAAAATTACTGAAGCAAACCTTCCACCGCACACTCATACAGGAACTACAAACACAACAGGTAATCATTCACATTCAATAACAAAAAGAGGTTATAGAAATCTTGCAGCGGGTTCGGATAGACAGGGAATGGATAGATATGATATCACAACTGACCCAGTAGATTCAAGCGCAGGTATTTTCTGTGGAACCGCAGGAAATCATTCACACACTTTCACAACAAATCCAACAGGCTCGGGTGAAGATTATATGCCACCATTTGTGACTGTATTCGCATGGTATAGAGTTCAATGAACGCGCTTGAGCCTTGAATAAAATCTTTAACTTTACATAAATGAGCTTGAAAGAAGTATTCGAACAACATCCATGGAGGTCATTTAAGAAGTTCAATGAAGCTGCAAAGAGTTGGGGATTTACTAACAGAGCTGAAGTGAAAAGGTTCTTTGACAAAAATGTTGTACATCAAACAAAAATAAACCCTTACGACTACTTTTTACCAATTTACTCCAACACTCCTGACGCATACCAATTTGACACTCTCATTCAAAGCAGAAAAGGAGGACATAACCCATTCCTCATCTTCATAAATGTTAACACTCGCAAAGCATATGCATATCCAATGAGGAATAAAGGAACTCGTGAAGTGTTAAGAGTTTTACAAAAGTTTGTAGCAGAACATAGCCCAAGTACTTTAACATCAGACCAAGACAGTGCATACCTCAGCAATGAAATCACAGATTTCTCATTAAGCATAACATAACTCACTACACTACTGAAGACCATAACCATAACATACTCGGTATCATTAATCGCTTCATAAGAACGCTCAGAGATTTAAATCAAGAGCGAGACTTTACCGAAGAAACAATGAAACATTTTCTCGAAGTATATAATTCCTCAACACATTCTACAACAGGACATACACCAAATTCAATGACACAACAACAAGAAGAAAAGTATATACAAAAGAAACGAAGCCAAACACAAAATATCAGAAATTCAACACAATTTACCCTCATTCCTGGTACAAAAGTTCGTGTAGTTCTTGACGACAAACCGTTGACAAAGAAACGTTTAAGGTTAAGTCGAAATTATTATATAGTAGACTCTACGCAAGTAATGGATATCTTATAAAAACTGCCAACGACTCTATTGCGTTTTATCCTCGTCATAAATTAGTCGAAAGTAGTAATGGCAAACTTGCTGAAACCATTGACGAAGCAAAGCGAGGAGTGGTTATTGAAATACTTGGCTATAACACAAACGATGACACTTATAAAGTAAGATATGAAGGAGGCGTTGAAGATGTTATACCATCTAAGAACTTGAGAGAGTCGAAGCCAACACATCTGGGACCATTAGAGCGGGAGTACTGGAAAGACAAAAATATGCCAGAAAGAATAAGAAAATTCTTCTAAACTTTTTCATTAGATGTAAATCAGACAAAAATATAATTTAGGTGAAGAGGTGAGATCTCACCCGTTTTCTCACCTGTTTTTTCACCCTCATGAATTTTCATGAATTTCCTTAAGATAGAAAAATAAAGTTAGTTTTATTTTTATTTATTTTTTTATTTTGTATGTAAAGACAGTAATGTCAGTCGAAGCAAAAACATTCACTAACAAATCTAATGGCGAAACATTCACAAAAGGCACTTATAACGGTATTGAAGTCTTACGTAGAGACAAGGATGGTTACATTAATGCAACAAATATGTGTCAGCAGTTTAGGAAAGACTTTAGAAAGTTGTTGGAAAATAAGTCCTGGGAAGAGTATTATAAGGCATTTTGTGAAGAATATAGCAACCGTCTGAATTCCGGCGGTTGCTTTTTATACAAAATTCATGCAGGAATTCCTGATGAAATCAAACAGGTTAGAGGAACGTATGTAGACCCAAGACTTATAAACTATATAGCAATGTGGACTTCTCCAAAATATTGCATAGCAGTTGGAAAAATTATGGATTCCATAGACAAGAAAGTTCATGAGAAGTTAGATGAAGAAGAACTCGAAGATACAGTAGAGAATGCTAAACCTTTGTTCGAACAAGAAGTTAGAAAAATGCGCGAAAAACAATTAGAACATGAATGTGAGATATGTTATGGTTATAGAGATTCTTCATACGAACTAGACCAATGGGAACAAGAAGATTTAAAGAGAGAATTTAGAGAATATGAACTCGCTAAGATAGCATTAGAAGCTGCAGAAAAGAAGTTAAAAGTTTGGGGTCGTTTTGTACAAAAATATTGTGAGTAAAAATGAACCATTTATTTTTATCATAAACGACCAAAAATATATGTTTACGTTAATGTTTTTAGGTTATTCAATAATTAATTATTTTGAAGAACTGAAGGTGTCACTCGGTTAATTAACATCTCTGAAAAATGATGACAACATGACATCACATTTTGACGAAGTGCAAATCTTCACTTCGTGTCAAAATGCAAAAAAATAATGCTGAAAATGAAATATATTTTTGGTCAAAGCTTCCACGAGAGAAAAGATTCCCCATTCGCTAAGGATTCCAAAAATGAAAAAATCATTGATTTCGGCTGAGAAAAACAGCAAAACCTTCTTCCACGGGAACAAAGAAATAAAGAAGAAATAAAGTAAATTTTTTATTTATTCCCGTGGAAGATAGAGCACTTTTATGACACTTTTTATTCACGACAAACAAGACAAACAAAGAAAATAAGAAAATACGGCGCTGTCGCGGTTCGAACCACAGACCCTGACCCCTCCATAACACCACCTTAGACCACTGTGCTACGTAGCCTGTCGACATAAGATTTTATAAATTGCATATTTGACGTAAATTTATTTCCATCTAGCTTCCCACCGCATAAGATATTCATACGTGTTTGTAAGACATTCATTAAACTTCTTTTCTATTGCATCTAATCTTGCGTTATTTTTTTCAATAACTTGTCTGTATTCTTCATCATCTCCAGCAGTGTTTGGGTCTTCACGTTTAAAATATTCATTGTTAACCAATTTTTTATCTACAAATTTTATTAGTGTTTGATTCACTTCGTTATGATAACGGTCATATTCTTTCAATACGTAAGTGAAGACAAAATGCGTCGTACCTTCAATCTTAAAGCTTAAAGAACTTTCAACACAGTTTTGAGGGTCTGTCAGTGCGTCAATGAGATAGTATTCGAAGTCAGTCAATAATCTTTTTAAAGTCATTTCATACAGGATAAAATTTAATGTTGTGAAGAAATAGTGTTTATCTCAGAAAAAATAAAGTTAGTTTTATTTTTATTTATTTTTTTATTTTGTATGTAAAGACAGTAATGTCAACATCAGAGAACACAACAATTGCTATCGTTCATGAAGCCATAAATGAAGAATACGAGTACATACAGTATAACAAACAGTTACGTCTTATTCGTTCAGTCAAAGATGACATGTACCAAATGCAAAGTATTTTGAATGCTCTTCTTTCTACAAAGCAAGCATATCATTGGTTTGAAAACCAACAGGCAAAAGAACTTTTAGAAGAATTTCCTCATATGATTGCTTCCCTCGGAAAACCGAGGGAAGAGATTCCGTACGAAAATCGCAAGAATTTGGCTCCTGGTTTGAAAGGTTATTATGTTCATAGACTTTTAGTAAATGCTGTAGCAATGTGGGCTTCACCTCGTTATGCTTGTTATATTTTCATGATGTTAGATGAACTATATAAAGCAGAACGTGGAGAGATGGAAAAGAAACTTCAAGCAAAAGATGAAGTCATTGAATCCAAAGACAAAAGCATACAGAAAAGAATACCACGTTCAGTACCAAAAGGAAAGGAAAAAAGCTATAAGTATATGATTTACGCTGAAGAGTTGGAGAAAGAAGAAGATAGAGATATGGTTATGTTGCATTTAGTGAGAAGAAACAACAAGAGCTTTTATGACTTAGCTAAGATATATAAATCTGACAGAAACTGGTTCTATCGTGAAAACTTACCGATTTCAATGACACCGAATGAGCAAATAAAGGAAATTGTCAAAAATACTCTTCCTCAAACACACTATGACATCAAAGGTTGCACAATACTTACATTTAAAGAAGACTTAACATTACTGAAAGAAAAGATAACAGAATATTTCGACAACTTCAAAGAGGAAGAATGAAAACTTACCGATTTCAATGAAAAACATTAACTTTTTGACGAAGTGAAGATTTGCACTTTGTCAAAATTTAATGAAAAAACATTAACTTTTTTTGACGAAGTGAAGATTTGCACTTTGTCAAAATTTAATGAAAACTTACCGATTTCAATGAAAAAAACATTAACTTTTTGACGAAGTGAAGATTTGCACTTTGTCAAAATTTAATGAAAACTTACCGATTTCAATGAAAAAACATTAACTTTTTGACGAAGTGAAGATTTGCACTTTGTCAAAATTTAATGAAAAACATTAACGTAAACATTAACGATAAAATTTATTTCCTGGACTGTTGTCAAAATGTCATGTTGTCATCATTTTTAAAAGAAGTTAATTAACCTGGTAGCACATGGTGACGTGGTGACACCTTCAGTTCTTCAAAAATATATTTTTGTTCAAATAACGTCAGGGTCAATTTCTTCAACCATTTCACTTCCTTCGTCAATGTCAATAGAAGCTTCTTCAACCTTTGGTAAGAACTTTTGTATGACATCTTTGTTCGTTATTGTCTTCAGAGATGAAGGATAATATTTCACATTTGTTTCACCCTTCTTATATTCTTTCTGTTCGGAAAGATTCATAACAATACTGAAGAAGTCAATGTTAGAGTTCTTTATAACAGTATAATGAGTATCTTTGACATTCACGAAGAAACCCTTTTGTTTCAAAACTACTGCTAACTCTTGTGAAGTATAACGTTTGCGGTCAATGACGATAGCTAATGGTCTGACATACTGACCGAACTTAGATTCTTTCACAAACTTCTTGTTAAAGATAACATTAACGTTTGCAGCACCATTGAACTCATTCTTGATGGCATTAGCGAGAGCATTGTATGAAAAGAACTTGCAATCTTGCATGTGTTTCATTATAATAAAAATATTAAATTATTTTGAAAAATAACTTAAAAAAATCTAAGCTAATTTTTTCAAAAAAATATTTTTTTATTTCCTACTAAAGATGTATCGGAAGTTGTCTAAGTTAGAACACTCGGAAATAAAACAACTTCTTACAGAAGCTAACATAGATGTTGCAAAACATTACGCGACAAACAAAAAAGCACTCGCTGACATCCTCAATGACTATAATGGTGCAATAAGTTATGATAGAATTCATGAGTTCATAAAGCCG